GTTACTGGTGGTAGCAGTAGTGGTTTCTGTTATACCTTAGTTACTGGACTGTTCTTATCCCAACCCGTGAGAGTTACATTCTTTCCATTCTCCTCCCCATCCCTCCCAGTGTAGGGAGGGAAGTGAGTGTTAAGTAGCGCACTTAGTTGCTCCTGTCAGCATTGTTCTCACACTAAAGTAAAAAACAGAGCCCCACCAGCTACTGAGAAGGAGAAAAATACCTGTTACAGCTGAAGCCCAACAGAGTGGAAGGACCATGGCAGGTGTGAAGGGTGGTAACTCCGTGTATGATTGCTCTGGGCTGGTTTCCCTTTACCCTCTCTTCAGCTGAGGCTTTACGAGAGGCAATGACTATTCCCCCTTGGAGCAGGAGCATCAGCAGTCCCACTCCAGCAGGAGAATCTCCTTTTCAGCCCTGCAGCAGGACTCTCTGACCTCCCATTCCACCCGTGATGGCTCCCCCCTCTCTCTCCTGTCTCAGGTGCAATGCTCTGCAGACCAATGACCCTTACTATTTCAAGAGCTGCACGTATGACCCATCCCTCAGCCCCTCCTGCCCCATCTTCCGCGTGCGTGACATGGTGGAGGCAGCTGGAGAGACCTTTGAAGACCTCGCACTGCTGGTACTTGTTCTCTTTAATATGGAAGATGACTCCAAATCCCCCATGGCTGTGTGCAAGGGACTGGGGGCAGGAGACAGGTCTGACCCGTGAATTGTTAAGGGAATGTGTGATCTGTGGCTGTTGGAACAGTGAAGAACTTGTCAAATCTCTGATCCCCAGTGAAATCTTTGCTGCAATGTGTTCTGCAGGGAGGGAGCATCGGAGTTCGCATTGAATGGGACTGTGACCTGGATCGCCCTGCGGCTCACTGCCAGCCTCAGTACTCCTTCAGCTTGCAGGACAGGAGGTACAATTTCAGGTGAGGATGCTGGGACAGTGGCCACATGGGCCCATATGTTGAGCACACAGTGATCTTTTGAGATCTCAGTTTTCCTGATGGGTGCTCTGAAAGGAGCAGGAGGGACAGTGGGATGCAGTAACAGTCCTGGGGTGCTGTGATAGTTCCTGCACCCTGTGGCTGTGCTGTTTGGAGCTGTGAAGGCATTTCCTGCTGGAGGGCAGGGACATGTGGCAGCTCACGGCTGTGCTGACCCTGAACTAGACACACTGGGACCTGCGTGCTCCCAGTGACCCCAGGCTGGGTGCTGAGTGGATGCTGATGCCCCCCTGCTGATGCCAAGCTGCTGCATCACCCATGTCCCAGCCTGCTGGAGGATGAATGGTGTGCACAGGCACATGGCTCCAGCAGTCCCAGGCCACTGGACCGCTGCCTGCACAGAGCTGCCCTGGCTTTGAGCCACGTCCAGTGTCTCCCACAGAACTGCCTCCTACTACTGGGACTCCCAGCGACGGCTCTACCGGACCCTGCTCAAGCTCTACGGGATCCGCTTTGACATCTCCGTGCACGGGCAGGTACTGCTGTCCCCGCCGGGCTGAGTCCCTCACCGCTCCTGCCTGCCCTCTCCTGCAGCCTTCCTGGCATGGCTTCTCACCCTGGTGAGCCCTTCCCCGCCTCCTAGAGTTTTCCAAGCAGAGCGGGAGATAATGGTCTCTCCTATTTGAAGGGAAGTTTCTTGACAATGCCCTGAGCAGGGAGGCTTCCCTCACTGATGATGTGGGTGTCAGGAAGCACTGGGCCCTGTAGGCGAGGTGAGGTTGTCTGGGAGATCAGCCTGAACTTTTGTGAATGTGGGCAATTAATCTCTTCTTAGAATCAGAATGGTTTGGGTTGGGAAGGACCTTAAGATCATCCAGTTCCAATCCCCTGCCACAGTCAGGAACACCTACTAGACCAGGCTGCTCTAAGCCCCAGCCAGCCTAGCCTTGAATACTGCTAGGGATGGCCCTGTTTCAGTTTGAACCCATCACCACTTGTCCTATTGCTACAGTCCCTGACTAAGAGTCCCACTCCAGCATCCCTGTAGGCCCTTCACATACAGGAGGCAGCTCTGATTTCTTGATTTACTGTACCCTTGGGGAGAAAACCCATGGGCATAATGACGGCTGACACCACAGTGTGCAGTATTACTGACAAACTCGGCACTCAGCTGTGCCAGATGGGGCCTGTGCTGAGAGAATTTGCCACCTGAGAGATGTAAACAGCTGGTCTGTTATGCTTAGCAGTGGCCTTTTTACCTGAATAGGGTGAAGCAGGTGTTTGAGACAGGGTGCACCACTTCTGGGTTGTGAGATCAGGTCCAGGAGATGTAGAGCAGGATTGAACAGCCAGGGATGAGACAGGAGCCTGGAAATCTCTGATACCAGACTCATTGAGCAGGGGGGACACATCACACTAGGGCTGTTTGCTGGTCACGGGGATGTTCTGTGGGTGGCAGCTGCTGGCCTCCTGCAGCAAGAGGGAGGCTCCCACTGTGCCTGCAGGAGTAGGGGGTCACAGTAACCTCTGCTGCCACCAATGCATGAGCTGCCCCAGTCCCTTCTTTGGCAGCCAAAGGGGTTTTGAGTCGAGGTGACAGAAGTTGGGTTCATAGCTATGGAGAACTGACCTTGGTGTCATCCAGCACATCCCTGGCTTCAATAAGTCTGCCAGCAGGGTTTGTTCCACACCTCTCACCACTCTCCACCCACTGTTCTTACCAGGCTGGGAAGTTCAGCATAATTCCTGCTGCTGTGAGCTTTGGCACTGGCATTGCATTCTTTGGTGCTGTGAGTATTCTCTATACGTGCTTCTCTGAGCTGTGGGTTGGGATTTGTCTCTCGCCCGTTGTTACCCTGCCTGCCCCGGCACACAGCTCCCTGGTGTCCAGATCAGGGTGTTAGATGCCCTTCTGTTGTGCTGCTGGGTCAAAGATCCTGAGCGCTGCTGGGACACAGCTCATGGAGGGAGATGTCTGTGTGCCCCTGGGAAGAGGTGTTGCTGGCTGGTCTGTTCCAGCTGTCTCAGCCTGCAGGAGTGAACACCTCCTCTGTGTGTCTGCCCTGACTAGAGGGAGCCAGTGTCCTGCTCCAGCACGGGCACACTGTTGTGGTCATTGAGGTGGGGTAGCCTCTTGTAGAGTGCGTCTGTGGCTCTTCCCCTCCAGCAGAGCCCTGGGGAGCCTGGATCCCCCTGGCCCCTCTTTCCTCACATGTGCTCATCCCAGTCCACGTGGCCCTGGCCTTGCTTTCCTGCATTGCTGCCCAGGTGATCTCATCTAACTTCTTGTGCAGCTCATGGGAGCAGGCTGGGTCAGAGACCTGCCTGGGTGGCTTGTGCTGGAGACAGGTCAGGTTTGCAGGGCTTGGTGGGAGCTGAGGCCTGGTTTTCCTATAGGAAGTGCTGCTGCTGACCATGCTGCTGTGCTTGTCTTGTCTCCAGGCCACGGTGGTCTGTGACCTAGTTCTGCTCTACCTGGATGCAAAGGCTGACTTCTATTGGAATGAGAAGTTTGAGGAGGTAAGGATGGGGCCACTTTTAAGAGATGAGGTTGGAGGCAAGTTTTGCAAGTAGGTTTAATCGTCTGCCCCTTGGTTAAAACTCTGTTCATGAGATCTGGGAAAACGCCAGTTTAGCAGTTCTGAGTCTCGGTGGTTGGTCTGAGCGGAGCCTGAGAGACTAAACTCCTCCAAGTTTAATGCCAACAGGTGGCAGTGGAAGAGAGGGACCAGACCAGTGCCCCACCTGCAGGAAAACCTGAACCACAACCTCAACTCCTGTTAGAAAACAGGGAGTCCCTGAGAGGACCTTACCACAGAACCTGACCCAGCTTGACATTATTCATCTTCCAAACTGAAGCTGGCCAAACTCCATGTGCCAAGGGCAGCTCTCTCAGGGTGCTGGAGCTGTCAGCTCAGTGCTGCCCATCCTGGGGAACTGGGGGGGTCAGAAAGGGGTGTGCTGGGGAGGGGGGCTGCAGAGCAGGAAAGCTGCCAGCCTTGGCTTGGCTCATCTTCAGCTTTATCTGGCTAAGTTTTAGAAGCCTCTGAGGACACAGATCTCCTGGTGACCTGCCCCAGGGCTGCACCATTCCCCTGAGGGGAAAAAGCTATCCCTAATGCCTGATCTGAGTCAGGAGTGGAGTGGGAATATCAAACAACGGATCTGGCCCATGGGACTGAGCAGAGCAGGACCCCCCACTTGGGCTTTCCCCTTCTCTCTGGTGCAACTGAGATGCTCCTGTTCATTTTTCAGGCAAAACCCCCCAAAGGTAAGAGTGAAGCTGCAGCTTAGGGCCATCGGGGACACTCCACCAGGCACCCTGTGCTCCAGGGCAACCTGGGGTAGATGTGATGGGGACACAGCTGCAGCCTGGGTGCAGGAGGCCCTGACCAGCACTGGTGTGTGTGTGCTGCTGAGCTGGGGCTCTGCCTGCCCTGGAGCTGCGTTTGCATCAGCAGAAGTTCTTGGCTCCTGGCGCATGAACCCCATGTGCAGCTCCCAGCCAGGCCTGGAGTGGAGCTGCTGTGAGGCCTCGGGTTTGCTGGGAAGCTGCTGGCCCATGCTTGCCACGAGAGGCTTGAAGCACTGCACTTCTTCCCCTTTCCCATGGCCATGGGCCTGGAGTTCCTGTGAAAACCAGGGACCCAACAAAATAAAGCTGCTTGGAAAGTGGGAGGTGGCTCTGCTCTCCCTATAGCACTGGAGCTGGCTCCAAAGGGTTAGTGGTGCCCCTCTTGCACCTCCCAGCACCCTTGGTGATTCCAGCTGAGATGGGTGACCCACATCCTAGGAACCTCTGCAAGGAGCAGCAGGGTTATCCCCTCCTCTGCTGTGCATGGGAAGGGTTGAGGAGCTGAGCTGAAGCCAGCAGCCCTGGGCTGGGACTTGCTTGCTCCTGGTTCTTGCCCTCTGCCAGGGCTGATGATCTGGAGGACAAGTACAGCATTTTGGGGCTGCTGAACCCCATGCTCTCCCCTTCCCCAGGCTGTGTGGGCCCAGTGGGGGAGGTCTGTGCCATGGGCTGCTCTGGACACCCTTGCACTGCCTGGCTCACAAACACTGCAGCACTGGGGCCGTGAGCACTGTTTAATGCTCCCTGATGGGGCTGACAGCGTGGGCTGGGGGAGTCTTGCAGCAGGGTCCTTCCCTGGCTGCCTGCGCTGACAGATCCCGGCCGCCCTCCTCCCACTGCCGCAGGTAGAACTGTGCTGCCAGCTGCTTGCTCATGGTGCGCAGAGCCAGGAAGGCAGCCACGATCTCGGCCAGGAGGAAGGCCAGGAGCAGGCTGTGCACTGCCAGCTCCAGCGGCAGGCACAGGACCTGGCTGTCCGTCAGCAGGAAGAGCAGGAGCGGGAGCTGGATCAGGAGGGAGAGCAGGAGGAACCCGGCCAGCTCGGGTACCTGCAGGAGCAGAGCTGGTGACATGGGTGCAGAAGCCATCGGTGGGGTACGGAGACCACTATCCCACTCTGCTGGCCTTGGCACCTTGGGCACTGGGACATTGCTGCCACACAGAGCTGTGCCTGTGTGTATTCAGGCACTGTGAAGCCCAGTGCTGGAGCATTGCACCCATGACACAGGGAGGGGTACAGCAGGAGAATGAGTCAGTCCCTTGTCCCCTGCCTCCAGGTCCTGCTTGCCCTTATGCTTCCCTCCCAGGATGGCTCCAGACAGGACTCCAGGAGGAATGGGTTGTGATGGGTGCTCGGGTCCTGAGTGAGGGACCATCCAGCAAAGCCACAGCAACACCACCCCTCACCAGGAATAGGGGACTTGAGGCCAGGGCAGAGGTGGTGCTTACCTTCTCCTGTAGGTTCCCCAGGTAGCCCAAGTAGAGGCGGGAGCCCTCAACCAGCAAGAGGATGAGGAAAGTGGTGACCAGCAGGAACTGGTAGTGCCCAGGCAGGAGGTGATACTGGAACAGGGGCACAGCCTCATCGCAGCCAGCCCTAACACCTGCATCCCATGCCCAGTGTCCCATCCCCTGTGCACCATTCCTTGTGCCCCATGCCGAGATCCGTGTTGTTTTCATTCTGCCCTCCCACTTTAACCTTCCCTTGCCTAGAGTTCAGTGGTGGGTCTCATTTCTGGGAGCCAGAGGTGAGCCATTGTGCCTTGTGGGGGACCCATTAAGCTTGACGAGGGTCCCCTCTCCCCTGCTCAGTGTGGCCCAGGCAGGCTGGGCAGGAGCAGGCTCAACCCCACACATGCTCCCTGGGACGGTACCTTCAGCTGCAGCATCATTCCCTCCGCCAGGCACCACGCGGGGAAGTAGCAGGCGTTGAAGTAGAGCATCATCTGGAGGGGCAGGTTGGCCAGCAGCTCGTGGGCTAGTTAGGGCAGACAGGGGTTGGGCAGGGCTGCTCAGCACCCGCATGGCCTCACTGCCCCAAGGGAGCCCCTGCCACGCTCAGGGGGACTCTGGGGAGCAGCTGCTAGCAGTAAATGCACTTATTGGTGGGTGGGTGCAGGGACCCCGCTCAGCAGCACCCGGGTGCTCAGTGAGGTGCTGGGCAGGCTCACAGGGATGAAGCGACACAGCCCCGCTGAGCCCTGCTGCGTACCTGGGCTGCACCTCTGGGCAGCGCCGCTGTCCTGCGTCTTGTTGTCCATGAAGAGGGAGCCGCTGAAGGCCACCAAGCCCCGGCGGAGGTTGGGGGGCAGTGGCGTGCGCGCAGCCATGGCAGCACTGAGCCCTGCTCGCCCCAGCGCGGCTCAGCAGGGATTAGCCGGGAGGGATTAAGGGGATGACAGGTTGGGCTCATGCGCGGGGCCACCGGCTCCCAGGGACAGCACGGCAGTCCCCTGGGACGCCAAGGCCCCGGGGGAGCCACAAGGACACAGCAGCTCCCCTCCATCACCGTGGTACCGACCACTCTGTCCCCAGCCCGTTCTCCCTGCGGGCAGCACCGGCTCTGCTGCACCCTCTCCAGCCAGGCTGTATCAACAGTTCCTGCCCGGAACTCCTTGACAATGATTCGGCCCGGACAGGGATGATGCTTTTTGCCAGGAATGCTTCTTCAAAGCATCTCATCTCAGTCTCCCCTCTGGCAGGTTAAAGCCATTCCCCTTGCCCTGTCCCTACAGTCCCTTGTCCAAAGCCCCTCTCCAGTGCTCTTGTAGCCAAGTCCCGCTGCCCCTTTCTACGAAGGAGCTGTTTCAGCTGGACTAGAACATCACCCCATGACATGAGAAACCCCAGTCACCACCATGGCTTTCCTTAGGACATGTACTGGATCCTGTCCACCACCTTGGCTAATGCTTACCGGTGGTGAGCATGTCCTGGAGCTGGGCAAAGCTGTGTTGTCTTCTCTGCCACCTCCTCTGGGACACCTCTCAAACCCCCACACCAGGAGAGAAAGTTTACACCTCTTAAGAAACCCCCTGTTCCCACTGGCAATGAGCACCAGTCTCTAAACCCAGCTGGGGCTCAGGAAGCTTGTTCACAATCCCCAGCTGAGTGGCACCATCACATGTGGCTTCACTACATCACCCAGCTACCTTCCAGGATGCTCACCTGGGTTGCCCCCACAGATGTGACCCCTCCCCAGCCCCACAGCTGGTGCTGTTCTGATGCTGGGCTTTTGCCTGTTGCCCTGCCCACATCTCACCCCATGTGCTGGCAGGACCCAGAAGCCACATAGTGGGCACAGCGCCCCTTCCCTTCCCGCACACCTGGGACCCCTTTGGTGGCACCACACCAAGGGACAGGGTTTTCTTAGCTCCTTCATGCCCTAAGCCTTCATTTAAAATAATCTCTGCTTCTCACTAGGCAGTTTCCCAGATACTGGAACTGGATAATCTTCCAACCCTAACTTCTGAGGCAGTTCTTCCCTGTGAGGGTGCTGAGGGGCTGGCACAGGGTGCCCAGAGAAGCTGTGCTTGCCCCATGGACCTAGGATGAGGCTTGCACACTCACATCCCCTTGTGGATCCTGCAGATATGTAACGGTTCAAGAAGAGGCCTCTGCTGGCTGCTGAGTGCTGGAGCATGCACATCCTCATCTGCTGTCCCCTCTGGTCACACTGCCTGCGAAAAGCCTTGCAGTGAAAGCAGAAGAGCCAAAGCAGAGACAACTGGTGCTGTTTCTACCTGGCAAAAAGGAAGTCTGGAAGTAAATCCAGATGACCTGGACACAAATGGGAAGCCTCCACAGCAGTGATTGCACCAACCGGCCAACCTGCAAGGATGACCCAAGGCCTTGGAAGGAACCGGAGATGATCCAGATCCCAAGAATAGCACTACTTTAATCCACAGAGGGGATCCAATTAAAAATATAAATCATCTTGCTCTGGGCTTGGAGTAAAACACTGACTGTGGGGGGAGACACCTGGGCAGAGCACTGGGGGCTCTCCAAGGGGGGTTCTTGCCCCCCCGGCTCTGCTGGGCTGTTTGGCACAGGGCTGCAGGCTGGCCAGGTCCGCTCCTGAGCTGGAGATAAGGTTCTTCAGCAAGGGGCAGAGAACACAACAGCAGAGCACCGGCATGGGAAGCCAAGATGGGAAATGCCGCCTTGTCAGGAGGCAGCAGGAGGGCAGGAGCAAGGAGCGATGGAGGCCGGAGGATCCCCTCCAGCTACTTGTCATTGAGGAACATTTCATTCATCGCTCAGGACAGCCCAGGGCTGAGGCACTGCCCCAGGCTGGGGGCTGCCCTCACACCTCTGCAGGGAGACCCCGCTCCGCACCGCACTCACACCGACACTGACCGAGAGCTGCCCCAAAAGCTGGGAGCAGCTCCAGCCCCTCGGCTGTGCTGGCACGGGGGGTGCTGCTGATGCTGGAGACTGATGAGCTCTAGAGCCCTCGGCCTGGGCAGGGACCACCTCTGCTAGGGCTGGATGGGGCGACCAGCGTGGGGAAGGGGCAAGACTCCAGCATGGGCTGTACAGAGACCCCCGGTGTGACCCCATCCCTGCCCGTCCCCACACTTCCTGAGCTGGGTGGGCACGGGGACAGCCATGGCAGTGCTGAGCCATGCGGAGGGGGAGCAGAGGTCCGGCTCTGCGGGGATGCACATCAGAACTCTGTGGGAACAAAGGGGATTGGGGATGGGGCCACATGCTTGAAAGCACAAGGAGCAACAAAAGGCACGCTGCTTACGGGGGCAAGGGTCTTGCTGGGGACTCCCAGTCTGTTGTCAGCATCTGCAGCACCCGTGCCCACCACCAGTGCCGAGCCCTGCTCTCTGTGGGGGCTGCTTTTCCAGCATCCCATGGGAATTGCAGGAGCAGAGCCCCAGCCTGGGAGGCAGCGGGGCAGGGGGTGGTGAGTGCACAGTGACCGGGGCCAGGCTCATCTGGGTCTGAAGGGGAAGTGACTCAGCCACGGTGTTCCCACTCCTCTGTGAAGCTGCCAGCCCATCTCCCCACAGAGAGTGCAGCACCAGGAGGGCACAGCCACCAGCAGCATTAGGAGCCTTTTCCTGTCAGCCAGGACATGTCTCCAGTTCTAAAAGAGAAAACAAACCAGCAGCACTGTGAGAGGCTTCCCAGCACGTGCAAGACTGTTCCTGATGCGTCTGGGCACTGCCCTCAGTGCTGGACACCGGTCCCATGGGCTGTGCCCCATTCTCCACCCTCACTCATGTGTCACTACACCTACCCAAAACATGATGTGCAGATCCTCAATTCCACCTCAAACTGAGCTCAAACAGTGGTGGTTGAGGTTTTTTTCCCCCAAAACAAGCCCTTCCTGCATTCAGCTGGGAATTCCTGTGGAAGTCACCCAAGGGCGGGCATCTCCCTCTCCGAGCAGCATCCCAGCCAAAAGGCAGCTGCAAAGGGGACCTGGCAGCCACCCCCAGCCCCACACCCAGTGCACCCAGGATCCCAAAGCGAACGTACTTGCCGTGACGAACAAACAGCCTGAAAGGAGCGAAAGCAGCGGGAGACAGAGAGAAGACATTCAGGTTTAGGTGATCCGGCCTCCTCCAGGCTCGCTGAGCCCCACCACAAGGGCCAGCCAGGCTGCCCATGAGTTGCCACCTCCCTCCCAGCCAGCAAGTGCTTCCCGATGCACTGGGGGCGTTGGGCGTGATGCTGCCTGGTGGCTGGGTGAACCCTCAGCATGGTCCCAGGGGTGCTTGATGCTCTGAGCACCACTGTCCCATAGGATCTGTGCAAGGATTTGGGTCCTGGTGTTCAAGACAAACCCCTTGTGTGCAGGGTGCGAGAGCTGGAGGCAGCTGGGGGAGGGGGGGGACAGTGACAGGGGGGCCGAGTGAGCGGGGCAGGAGGCTACAGAGAGGGGAGCAGTGGGGGGAGCTGCCCAGTGCCGCCGGGGTCCTGCCCTGGGGTGCTCAGCCCTGCCCTGCACCCCTGGCCCCTGGGCCCCTGCCCCGGCACTGCCAGTTCCCACAGCACCACTACTTACTCCACATCGCGCTTCCGGATGGTCCTGCCGGCAGCCAGGACCTCGGCCACCTTGGACACAATGGGGTCGTAGTTCATGCTGGCCACAGCCACCACCTCGTCACTCCTAGGGCCAGGCAGAGCATGGGGTTAGAGCAGCCCTGCACAAGCACAGCTCCAGCACCCAGGAAGCACATGCTGGAGAGAAGCAGGAAGCGGAGAAGCACCTTGGACCCATCCCAAGGTGTGGACACCATGGGGCCTGTGCTGATGGGGTGGGACGAGGGTCAAGAGAAGGCTGGGAGCTGGCACAGCAGGCTGGCCCCACCGTGTTCTCACACGTGTTGGCGTGGTGAGCATCACTAGGGTGCCCAAGGGATGGGGACAGCTTGGGGCACCCTGGAAGCTGTGAGAAAACACCAGCAAAGGTGGATAAAGCCCTGGACATCAGCAGGGATGCCCAGTGGTTGCTGCCAGCCAGGGAGGTGATCCTGATGCTGCTGCCCTGTGCTGAGAGAGGGGAGAGGCAGGAGGTCAGGATTTCCCTGACAGCGTGCACCAGGAGGAGGAGAGCCCAAACCATCAGGTGGGCACAGCAGAAGGAAACACGAGGGGATTGTCCGTTTGGGGCAGCGTCCCCAATCAAAAAGCATCAGCACCAACCAGAAGAACTGACACCAGATGAGAAGAGGAAGAAATGCTTTCACAGAGGCAGGGACTGGGACTGCAGCCGAGCAAAGCAGTGGGAAGGAGCTGGCCAGCACTCCCCTGGCACCTCTGGCTCTCAGGGGGTGATGCCACCCTGGTACCCAACAGACATCCCCAGAGCCCCTCCCGGGTGGCAGAACGTCAGAGAACTGGGCAGCACCCCTGTGTGCCAGTGGGTCTGCCCAGGCATGCTGAGCTGGGCTGCACAGAGCAGGGATTATGCACCTTCTGTGGGGCTCTCCTTTGAAGGCTCTACAGATGTTTAATTAAAGCAACCTGACATTTCCTCTCTAATCGGGGCTGGAATAAATGGCTGAAAGCTCCAGCATGGAAAGGGGGAATCAAGGCTTCAAAGAAGATGATATGCTGGAAGGAAATGTGTACCGGGGCAGGTCGTGGGTGCCTGGCCCTGTCGTGCTGCAGCAGACACGAGATGGGATAGTGCAGTGGCTGTGCGGTGGCTTCACAAGGATGCAGTGCACACAGTGCTGCAAACCCCTCCCGCAAAACTGCCAAACCCGGGGTTTATCCCCCCCAGCTGACACCCACGGAACAAATGGTACATTTTAAAAAGCTGCTTTGGCATTGTGTGATTTAAATGAACTTCAGAACATCGAGAGGGTAGGGAGTGACAGCCCCATGGCTGAGGCTGGAGAAGGGGGATGTTCCCCGGCAGCAGCTATCCCCAGCATGGGCACAAACCCACCCTGGCAGGAGGTTTTGGCCAAGGGGAGCTCAGAGGTGAAGCACGTGCAAAGGGTGGCGGATGGTGGAGCCCTGCTGCCTGCAGCAGGTTTCTATCCGAGGCACCAGGAGAAGGAAGGTGAGTGCTGGGGACCTGGCTGCTCCTGCCATGGCCTGATAAAGGGAGCCCTGTGTCTCTCCAAACCTGGTGGCCACATCCAACTGCAGACAATGGGAGCAAGTGGCTGCTCTTGGAGAGGGGGACATAGAGGGGATGCTGTAAGGGACACTGGGCAGGAGACAGAGGGACGGAGAGCCCTGGTGAGATGAGCTCTGCCTGCTGCTGCCACAGGCGGTTTGAGCGCTGTGCCCTGCAGACCTTCACTTCCCTGGTTTCACTCTCCCGATCCCCACATTAGAAAGCACTTGTAGAAAACCCGCCCGTCTCCAGGCATGAGGAGGACCCCGTGGCCGCAGATTTCAGTCTGGGACAGGACAGGAGCAGCACAAGAATAAAGAGCAGCAGATATTTAGGGATAAATCACAGTGCACAGTCTTGCCGTGGCTCTCGTGGCTCAGGAGCACTGGGGCAGCACATCCTGGCTGTCAGCACATCCCCGGCAAGTATTCCCAGCCAGGCTCCCAGCCGGGGGGGGAGCTGAGTTCCACACAGGTGTAACACAAGCTCCTGAACTCTTGCTGAACTTCACAGCTTGTCAGAAGAGGGGGTTTGAGCTTAATCTGTCAACCCATGCCAGGAGCAGTGATACCCATGCTCCCAGCCCAGCCCTGGCCAAAATCATTAGCACAGTGATGAGACGGGGAGGAAAAGTTTGATGGGGATTTCCAGCAACCCATTAATAGAAGCTATTATCTGCTCTCAGACACTTTGTGAACAGACCAAGTGCTTATACCTGGCAGAGACATTAGGTCCAAAGACCAGATTAACTTGCTTTACTCTTAGCACATCGTTTCTCTGGGGCCCTTTATTAGTGTCCTGCAGCCTCAGTGTCCAGAGAGGAACAAAGCCTCAGGCAGAAGCTCTGGCAAAAATACTTTTCAGCCTAACAGAACAAGCTTATTGGAACGTCTGTGGATGAATATGGAGAAGAGAAACACTTACTTGGTATAAAATGCCACAAACTTCAGTTCATCTAAATCTCCCTGAATGACAACATCATCAAATCCTTCCCCATGACCTGGAAGGCAGAGAAGAAGAGGTGGATTCAGCAACAATTCCCTAAGACAGGATGTTTCAATCCAGAGCTACAAGAAGAGCATCCTGCAGTCACCAAGAGGCCAGCACTAGATGAGGGTACCAAAAAGCACCCCTTCTTCTTCAGAGTTGAGAGACACTGTTTGTGCTTGGGCCACCCCCTGTGACCACAGCCATCCCTCTGGCCTGCACACATGGCCATGAGCAGACCAGGTTTTGGAGGCAGGAAGGGAAGCAGACCTGAAGCAGAGGCTGGCACGAAGGGTCTGCAGCAAGAGAGATGGCTGTGGCTGCTCTATCCCAGCACACCTCCACCAGCACAAACCCTTCAGCAGGCTCAGGGAGCCCCTTACCCGCATATCGGATGCTCTTCCCGAACATCGCAGTCCACAGGTATGGGACTGTGCTGAGCTCCACGCCATGGGCCAGCATGTTCAGTGCAGCTACACGGCCTGAAAGAGAAAAGCAGCAGAGTGAGCAGGGCAGCTCTGTGCTGGGGCAGGTGTTGTGCTCTGCCCTCAGTCACAGGACAGCATTGACATCTCCAGTCCCAGAGTACAGGGAGACCACGATCTTCTGCTTAGGGGAAATAAAAGATTACACAGCAACAAGCAAGAGTACCAACAAGAAAGCGCAATGCATGGCATGGCCCAGGCCTGGGCTTGGACTCCTCCCTGGCACTGCAGCTCCTACTGACCCATCACCTCCACTGACATGAGCCATGTGCTACTGAGCCTGGTTCAACACAGCTTCTGTAACAGTGGCAGGGCTGAGAGCTCACTGAGCTCCCACCACAAACAGGGATGGGATGGATAACCACCAGCACCACCCCCGAGGGCATAGAGGCTGTTAGGGGACAGTCCTTACCCACAGAGGCATAGAACCATAGAATCACAGAATGGTTTGGGGGTTGAAAAGGAACTTAGGATCATCCAGCTCCAACCCCTGCCACGAGCAGGGACACCTTCCACTAGAGCAGCTTGCTCCAAGCCCTGTCCAACCTGGCCTTGAACACTGCCAGGGATGGGGCAGTGGGCACCCTGGGCACCTCCCCTGGGCACCCTGTGTCAGCGCCGCAGCACCCTCACAGTAAAGAACTTCTTCCTTATCTCCAACCTGAACTTCTGCTGTTTCAGTTTGAACCCATCACCCCGTCCTATCGCTATAGTCCCTAATGAAGAGTCCCTGTCCAGCATCCCCTCAGACTCTGGAAGCTGCTCTGAAGCCTCCACGCAGCTTCTCTTCTCCAGGATGAACACTCCCAGTGTTTTCAGCCTGGCTCCATACCGGAGGTGCTCCAGTCCCCAATCATCCTCATGGCATGTCTGGGCCAGCGTTAAAGGGGGCTGTGTCCAAAGGCTAATGTTGGAGGTGTGGTTCCAAACCTTCTCACCTAGGACACCCTCACAGAGGTCAACCTCCTCATGGGGTTGGAAAGCTTGAGGGCAGAGGATTACACCAGGGTTTTCAGGCTTGCTGGCATGGAAGGGAGAAAGGTCTCAGGCATTGTTAGGCAATGCACATCAAGAGGACATCAAGAGGATGACAAACAAAGGCATAGAACAGCACCAAATACACATGCTTCAAACTGTTAAACACAACTACCCAGCTCCCCTGCTGGCAGTTGCCTCAATCTCTTGCCAGTGGGTTTGGAAATCTCCTGGGGGTATGGAAAAGGCTCTTTCCCATAAGCAATTTGCTGTTGTGAAGCCAAGGGGCTGTGAAGCACCTACCGTGCATGTGGGCCATCTGCCAGTGAGGGACATTCACCTTCTTATTATTCCTCAAGGACAGTGGGAATGTGACGGCGTCACCGGCCGCAAACACTCCTGGGACGTTGGTCTGCATCATCTGCAGGAGGAAGCAGAAGTGGGCGCAGTGGGGTCTGCACCCTCCGTGAACAGACACAGGGAACTGCTCCAGAGCTGTGCGGTCCCCAGAAACACCATGCAGCCTCTGCTCAACTCTGGGAGCCCGTGGGGGGATTTGATCCACCACTTCCCACGCAGACCACAGAGACGACCTGCCAGTGGGATACCCAGTAAAGAGACACATGGATTGGTGTCCTGGAGCCCCTCTTAGAAGGCTGGGGTCTGACAGGGTTTGAAATAGAGCCTGGCTCATTGCACATATGAGCAAGGAGCCCCAGTGCCCCGACACGCTCTTGCCTCGTAGCACACACCATCCATCAGCACCAACACCACTTGTACTGGAGTCGCTGGTGGTGATGAGGGAAGATGAGATCCTCTGGGATCCTTGAAATGATTTTCCCCCAAAAATACCCACACCATCCCAGGGCAGCTCAGGGCTGGACCCAGGCCACAGCACCCAGGGCTGCAGGGGAGGTCCCAGGCGCTCCAGCATTGCGCATCTTGGATAACCCCCCCCCCTGCAGCAGCAGTTTGGAGCTGCAAAGAAGCTCATCTTGGAGGAGAGCACTCAGCTCCTCCTGCTCTCCCCTGGCAGGGGCTGCCCTCCAGGCTCACCTTGTTGACCACGATGAAGCCTTTGGAGTCGATGTTTATGCCACTCTGCTTGAGGAAGCCCGTTGCTGGGACTGCACCTGTGGGAGCAGGGAAGAACTGCTGGCATGGCAGCCGGGCACCCCCACAGCCTTGGGGTGACCCCCAGGCCACACATCTGCCCCTTGCCTGGACAACTTGTCTATGCCAAGGGAAAGGGGCCCTACAGAGCCCCACTGCAGTGGGAGCACTGTGCAGAGCTGGCACATCACCACCACCCTCCAGGACCCACTGCTGCCACGGCCCCTCCACCAAGCAGAGTCCCAGCGGCCCCATGGGCTCTGCACCTGCAGGTACAGTCCCTTACCAATGCCAACAACACACACGTCGGCACGCAGCACCTTCCCGCTCTTCAGCACCACCTCCTTCAGCTGCGTGAGACATGGGGGGGACAGCACGGTTATTTTAGGACAAAAAAAAACCCAAACCTGTAATAGGAGCATGCCAAACTGACAGCTCACTTCACTTCTGACCTGCAGTGTGACCATAACCCCTTCCAATGGCAGCAGGAGGGTGGGAGCAATGGCACCACCCTGCGTGCCACACTGGAGCACGATGCTCCTGGGGGACAACCCCCAGGAATATGAATTTCAGGGCTAGGAAAGCTCAGAACCTCAGCAATGAAGAGAGCAGCGCCCGGGGGGAGGCTGTGGTGGTGACTCCGGCAAGCCCCTGCCCACACCATACCTTGCTCTCCTGCTCCCGCAGCTCTGACACCTCTGTCTGCATGTAGAACTTCACCCTGTTGCTCTCAAACATCTGGAGAGGGGACATGGGACAAAGCAGGGGACATCAGGACCCCAAATCACCACTGCTCCTGGTGTTCCTGTGCCCCCTGCACTGCCCTGATCACCCTCTGGACTCTCCTCAACCCGTGTTGCAAACAGGGGTCAGCACCAGCTCCCCCCCCAACATGTGTCCAGAAGAAGGTGTTCTATAGCACACATGGATCAAGAGAGGGGAAGACACAGCCTGTTCGTCCTGTCTAGTCACTGCTGCCATCACAGCTTAATCAATAAACATCAGATAATAAATTAGTGCCCCGAGTGAGACAAGCAGAACCCACTGTCACTAAAACCAAAGCAAGGGTGGGAAAGCAAGGTCACCTTCATGACAGCACGGCCAACCCTCTCCCCAAAGGACTTCTTGAAGGGCACTTCCTCGAGCTCCACCACGGACACCGAGTGGGCCCTCTCCGTGAGGTAGGCGGCCACCTCCATCCCTGCGGAACAGAAGCAGGTCCAAGAGCCAGTGGGGACAGCAGCAGAGGAGCAGTCTCTCCCCATCCCAGCTGAGGAGGCTGAAGCTGGTCTACAGGGAGATCTGGGGTTCCAACCATTTGACTGGTTTGGGTTGAAGGGATCTTGAAGCTCCTCCAGCTCCAACCCCTGCCACGGGCAGGGACACCTTCCACCAGAGCAGCTTGCTCCAAGCCCCTGTCTCCAGCCTGGCCTTGAACACTGCCAGGGATGGGGCAGCCACAGCTTCTCTGGGCACCCTGTGCCAGCGCCTCAGCACCCTCACAGGGAAGAGCTTCTGCCTTATATCTAACCTAAATCTCTCCTCTTTATGTTTGAATCCATTCTCCCTTGTCCTATCGCTACAGTCCCTGATGAAGAGCCCCTCTCCAGCATCCTTGTAGCCCCCTTCAAATACTGGAAGGCTGCTCTGAGGTCTCCACACAGATTCTCTTCTACACCTGGGGCTGGAAGTTGGACAACCCCAAGGTCCAGTTTGGGCAAGGGGTTACCTCTAACCAAGCAGTGACAAACTGTGGAAGGGACTGGATAAAGTCCGCAGGGAGATGGGACAGTGAGACATGGACACTGCGGAATGAGCGCTCACCCAGGAAGGATGCTCCCACAATAACCACGTTCTTGCTGGTGGCCAGCTTCACCACACGGCTGGCATCTTCAGGCGTCCGGATGTTGAAAACGTTTTCCACCTCCTTGCCTTTGCAGCTGAGAGCTTTGGGCCTGAAAAACACACATTGAGGACAATACAGGTGCTTTTCTTGACCCCATGTTGGCAGCTGGGACTGGAGACCTTCTTTCCAGGACTCCAGCAGCATCTCAGATCTTCCCTTTTTCACCTTTCTCTGGGCTGGAGACATAACATGGAAAACCCCAAACTCTGGTGGGCCATGGGCAGAGCTGTCTTGACCCCATCCATGGGCTGGGGAGCCCTCGGGGCTGGGGTGAGCTCAATCCTGGGCACTGCAGCACAACACAGGCTGGGCATGGCTTTGCAAGCAGTGAGGGTGGTGAGACACTGGCGCAGGCTGCCCTGTGCCAGAGAGCAGATGAATGCCCCACCTCTGGAGACATTCCAGGCCAGGCTGGATGTGGTTCTAGGAACCTGCTCCAGGTGAGGATGTGCCTGTTCATTACAGGGGGTTGGACTGGATGAGCTTTGAAGGTCCCTTCCAACTCAAACTATTCTGTGATTCTAAGCCTGTGTTTCACTGCTGGCATGCTGTAAAAATTTCCAGAGCTTAATGGGACACAGAAATGTCACTGTGTGCCCCAGCAGACACTTTGGAGCCAGACACTGAATGATTCATAACCCTCTGGAGATGCAGGTTCCACTATCTGTTCATAGGAGCATGCTGCTGATGCTGTAGCAGTTTATTCTTGCCCTCCCCATGCACTTAGTGGAGCCTATGTATTTTTAAACGTCTGGCCCCTGCATCCTCAACTCACACCTGGAAATGGGACAGATGATCCTAAATAATTCAGGTACCTAAAACATTTACCCAGTGTACCTGGAGCTTGTGCATAAGGATTTTGACATTACCACTGAATCCTCCTGAGCCCAATTAGGCAATTAGTGCAGACCCCAGCACTAGCCCTTAGCATTTAGTGGGGCTTTTCCTGTTACTGGTGGCACAGCGGGTGGCAACAGGAGCCCCTGCTCTGGCTGTTCTACAGCATCCCTTTACCAGATTAAATTCTGCAGCGGCTGCACTTCTCCTACTTTGTTTTGTGCCCTGGTGTTGGGAGCCCAAGGAAAGTGTGCCAGGGTGCCTCACTTTCATCTCAAAGTGCCAGTTTTGACAAATCCCATACAGAGAACAAGTCAACCCAGTACTTCCAGGGTGGTGCTCTCGGGTGACACAGAGGTGACACAAAGGTTTTTAAGCTTTGGCTGAGCAGACATACCCAGCGCAGATTTATAGAGATATACATATTATATTGATCATATAGATATGGTTATATCATAAAATCATAGAATAGTTTGGGTTGGACAGGACCTTCAAAGGTCATCTAGTCCAACCCCTCTGCATAGATACAGAGATGATAGAGATATAGGTTATGTAGATATACAGATAGATATATAAAGATGATACAGATATATCCAGATAGAGATTAGATAGATAGATAGATAGATAGATAGATAGATAGATAGATAGATAGATAGATAGATGATAGATAGATAGATATACAGATTTATCCAATAGTTATCCCTTGCTTTTCCTGCAAGCAAACATTCTTTGCAAACAAATTCAACCACTACATTTGACCCTCATTCCCAGGCACAAGCTCCTCACATTCTCAGATATAAGTTTCTCTCGCTCTTTAAAATGTTTGTTCATAGCTTACGTATTTCCCGTTGCTATCAGCAGCTTGTTGTATTCCATCTTAAATCCATCCTTGAACACAGCTGTCTTGTTCTTGACGTCCACAGCCGCAACCTGAAATCATTCCTAAAATACGTTAAGGGATGAAACGCCAGCCATTCACTCAGCTCCCAGCCCAACCATAGAATCATAGAATAGTCAGGGTTGGAAAGGACCCTAAGATCATCCAGTTCCAACCCCCCTGCCATGGGCAGGGACACCTCACACTAAACCATGGCACCCAAGGCTCTGTCCAACCTGGCCAGGGATGGAGCATTCACAACCTCTCTGGGCAACCCATTCCAGTGCCTCACCACCCTAACAGGAAAGAATTTCCTCCTTATACCCAATCTAAACTTCCTCTGTTTAAGTTTTAACCCATTACCCCTTGTCCTGTCACTACAGTCCCCAATGAAGAGTCCCTCCCCAGCATCCCTATAGGCCCCCTTCAGATACTGGAAGGCTGCTATGAGGTCTCCACGCAGCCTTCTCTTCTCCAGGCTGAACAGCCCCAACTTCCTCAGCCTGTCTTCATACAGGAGGTGCTCCAGTCCCTGATCATCCTCATGGCCTCCTCCGGACTTGTTCCAACAGTTCCATGTCCTTTTTATGTTGAGGACACCAGAACTGCACACAATGCTCCAGGTGAGCTCTCACAAGAGCAGAGTAGAGGGGCAGGATCACCTCCTTTGACCTGCTGGTCATGCTCCTTTTGATGCAGCCCAGGACACAGTTGGTTCCTGGGCTGCAAGTGCACACTGAAGCCGGCTCATGTTCTCATTGACCAACACCCCCAGATCCTTCTCCACAGGGCTGCTCTGAATCTTTTTCCTGCCCAACCTGTAGCTGTGCCTGGGATTGCCCCAACCCAGGTGTAGGACCTTGTACTTGGCTTGTTGAACTTCATGAGGTTGGCATTGGCCACCTCTCAAGTGTGTCAAGGTCCCTCTGGATCCCATTCCTTCCCTCCAGTCTATCAACCAAACCACACAACTTAGTGTCATTGGCAAACTTGCTGAGGGTGCATGAATCCCACTGTCCATGTCAGCGACAAAGATGTTGAACAAGGTCCCAACACCGATCCCTGAGGGACACCACTCATTACCCATCTCCAGCCGGACACTGAGCCATTGACCACAACTCTTTGCGTGCGGCCATCCAGCCAGTTCTTTATCCACCCAGTGGTCCATCCATCAAATTGATGTCTCTCAAATTTAGAGACAAGGATGTCGTGTGGGACAGTGTCGAACGCTTTGCACAAGTCCAGGTAGATGCCATCAACTGCTCTACCCCGTCCATCAGTTCCGTAGCCCCATCATAGAAGGCCACCACATTGGTCAGGCAGGATTTCCCCTTAGTGAAGCCCTGCTGGCTGTCACCAAGCACCTTGTTGATTTTCATGTGCCTTAGCATGCCTTCCAGGAGAATCTGCTCCAAGATTTTGCCAGTCACAGAGTTGAGACTGACTGGTCTGTAATTCCCCGGTCATCCATTTTCCCCTTCTTGAAAATGGGGGTTATATTTCCCTTTTTCCAGTCCTTGGGAACTTCACCTGACTGCCATGATTTCTCAAATATGATGGCCAGTGGCTTAGCAACTTCATTCGCCAGCTCCTTCAGGACCCACAGATGGATTTCATCAGGTCCCATGGACTTGCGCACATTCAGATTTTGATGGTCTCGAACCTGATCCTCTCCTACAGTTGGCCCAAGGTCTTCATTCTCACAGTCCCTGCATCTGCCTTCCAAGACTTGGGTGGTTTGGTCAGAGCTTTTGCCAGTGAAGACCGAGGCAAAGAAGTCATTCAGAACCTCAGCCTCTCCAAATCCAGATTAGCCAGCTCTGATGGCTTCTGGAGAGGGCCCACGTTGTCCCTAGTCTGTCTTTTATTCACAATGTACCTATAGAATCCCTTCCTGTTATCCTTAATACCCCAGCCAAGTTCAATGCTAACTGGGCCAAACCAACCTATCTGTTAGTTCTTAGTCCCCTGTGTTCTTGTGCACAGCTTAGCCAACCCAGACCTTAAATATTCCTGTTTGCCTTTCCACAGATCTGAAGATCTCACAGTATAAATAAAATACTAGGGAGAAATGCTCAAGCCATCACTGTGCATTTTTTGGAGGCTGGTTATCCTCATCAGAGGCCACTTGGTCACCCCAGATCCATTCAAGGAAGTTCCCAAATGGCAGGTAAGGAATGACTGTCACCACAGAGTTTGCACAGGGTGTCCTTCCTGCCACATGATGAGCTGCACTGACTGTAGTTTGGAATAATCACAGGCAACCTGTGCTCTGTGCTGGGGGAGACCCAACATTTGTGCAATGCAACCAGTGCGCTACAAACAAAGCCAGCTGCCACATCTCCTAAACACAGCCCTTGTGTGTCAGCACCTGCAGAAGGTGGCCTGCACGTACGCACAGCACTCTCCTTACCTGCATTTCGGTCAGGACTTCAATGTCGTAGCTGCGGAAGAACTCCTTGGGGCGCAGGGCAATCTGCTCCGGGTGGGAATCCATCGACTGGAAAAAAGCCATTCTCCTGTCAACCGCTGCGGTTGAACAGGCAAGGGGAGAAATGCCTGTTGTGAACCCAAGTCAATAGCCTGAAGTCAGTCCGTATGGCATGGGCTAAAAGAGCTGATACACAGTGGCTGGAACCAAAGTCTGGTCAAGTAAAAGTCATCACAAGATGCCAGACTGATTCCTTCTTCCTGCTTGACACTGGGGTGGCACTGACTGGCCAAGGAAGGACTACAGCAAGCGCTTTCGGGTGCAAAGCGGCTCTCACTGCAGCTCCTCATAGTCCATAGGGACAAAAGAAAACACCCATTATTTGGAAGACAACCAGCTGGAAAACAGCAAGGTCCTTATCGCTGGAGCGGCTCAGTCAGGGGCCGGGATGAGCCCTGCAGGACACCCCCTCACCATTACTCCAGGTGACGCTGTGCTCAGCAGAGACCCGTATCTTGGGACCTGAGGCACGGGCAGGGTCATACAGATCTTACTGCTAAGTCTTTGAACACCCAACATTCACTGAGAGGAACGTCAGACCCACAGCTCAGGAGCACATGCAGGGAGGGCAGCGCAGGGCAGTGCACAGCCACCATGGGTTTGCTCCTGCTCAGTGCTCCAGAGACCATGGGGATGGTGCAGCACACCAGGGAGCAGGTCATGGTCCAAAGGGGACAAAGAGGAGCAGGCTGGTGGGACTTTGGGGCAGACTGGTATCAGCCATTCAGCAAGGCAGACGAAGGACAACGCTGTAGTTTCCAGGAGGCAAGAAGTCTGCTGCTTACAGCTTTACATGCTCCTCCTCCAATGACTCTTTCCAAGGTTGATCTCACTCACTATAGGGTTAAGAAGAATCCCCTTTGTTTTCTAGCCTGTTCCTGAAAATTTTGCCTCCTCTTCCATGGGCTTTGTGCACCTTCCCAAAGTGACTGTGTTGAGTGGAGAGTTTAACAGACCATGCAGAACATCTCTGCTGTGTGAGAGGTTCTTACTATTTAATGGCAAGTGGAAAAGGCAGTCAGAGACTCATGGTGGGGATGAATGTGGGAAGAGCTGCCGGGTTGGGACAGGCACTGTGAGCTTCTCCCAGCTCCCCAGCCCATCCCTGTGACTCCTGGATGCAGGTTTCAGGCAGCTGCTCCTCACCCCAAGTGGGACCTGTCCAAGCACAGGAACGGATCGAATGTTCTCAAAAAGTCATGTGTATATATGCCTTCCTTTGAAAATCACTTTGCCTTGGGTCTGGAAGCAGAGTCAGAGCAACCCTGCCAGAAAGGGTAATACATACACTGCCTGTTCTGAGGTTATCTCCAGTCTCTGAGACCAAGTGCTGCTGTCCAACCTGAGCTGCTCTCTGGTATAATGTAAAACTTATCAGTAATAAAAAATGCAATTAGAAGATCATCTTGTGTCTACAATAGAATGAAAAATGAAATGATTGACAGAAAAAGTGATCTTTGCACTGCAATCGTTATCCAGTTGTGATAGTGACTGATAATCCCAATAATCAGGGCATGGAGCACCACTGCGCAGGAACTGTGCAGTCATTAAAGACCTGGCAGACAACACATTTTTTTCACGTCCCATTTCATAGCCCTAAAGATTTTGATCCAGAAACATGATAAAAGGATCCATCCAGGTGCAAGCTGCCCAAGTCACCTATAGATAGGCCTGTGAAGAATCATGGACTCATAGAATGGTTTGGGTTGGAAGGAACATTAAAGCTCATCCAGTTCCAACCCTCTGCCACGGGCAGGGACCACTTCCACTAGAGCAGCTTGCTCCAAGCCCCTGTGTCCAGCCTGGCCTTGAACACTGCCAGGGATGGGGCAGCCACAGCTTCTCTGGGCACCCTGTGCCAGCGCCTCAGCACCCTCACAGGGAAGAACTCCCTTGTTCCTGTGCTGGAGCACTCAGTTCAGAGGTTTAACAATTCCTGTTACATTTCATATTTCAGTCAGCAACAGAAAATGAAATTCAAGGGGGAACCAGAGTTGGGATGAACAAGGAAGAAGAAATGTGCTGCCGCAGTACATGGGGAAAGGTCCTAGAGCAAGTTTTAAAACAGGGAAGGAATGTGACATTCCCAAAGTGATACAAACCTTACTGAGCTTCGGTCTGTCGTAGGGCAGGTGTCTGTCCATCGTGCACATCACAATCCTGTCTGAGAAACCCTCCTGGCGCAAGGTCTCTGCACAGAGCAGTCCGGCTGCCCCTAAGGGAGAAGGAAGACTGGTGGCAGCAGTGCAGTGGGCATCTGAAGGTCTGAACCCTTTGCTCCTAAACCCCACCAGCTCTGCCGCATGCCAGCACAGCTCAGCTGACTTCAGGGACACAGCCTGGCTCTCAGTCAACCAGTTTCGTTTCCAACCCATTCCAGAAACAGGCAAACTCAGTAGATGGGATTCACTCCACCAAACTCCATTCACTCCAGCTTTCTACAAAAACTGCATTACACAACTGGAGCTGGGACAAGAGGAAGAAAAGAAGTTGGCAGGTTTGCTATTTCATGCAGGAATTTGCTATTTTCTGGGAAGATGGAAGAATTTATCTTCGGAGAAGCACCTTGGCGTGAGAGGTTTGGAGCTACAGGCAGCTGCAGTGGGCTGAGACAGAGATGTGCAGGCTCCAAGAGGAAAAGGTGTATCCACATCACAGGATCACCTCAGAGGGCTTTACACTTATCAGCTGTGGAAATCGGGGGTTACTGGTGTACATGGGGAGGGTGCAGAGGGAAGAGGGTTCAGGGCACCAGCTACAAAGGGAAGCACAAAGCTCCACAGAGCAGGAGGGGACATACATGGTGGTTCCAGCACGTGCCACACAATACCTGCACCGATGATCAGCACATTGGTGCTGCTCAGGTTATAGTTGCTCAAGGAGATGCACTTTGCCATCACCTTTGTCCTCCTCTGTGTCTGAAGAGCCTATGCCACCAACAACAGGAAGAAAAGTCATTATCTTCTCCCAGCTTTAACCTGGGTAGCCACATTATTGTCATAAAGCAGCTTGAATCAAAAGGAAACTGCACCTTTGTAGCCAGTGAGGACTGCAAACCCAAGCACATCCAAATACCCTCCCACCACCCGGTGTATCACCCCTTTACAAGGTGTAAAAGAAAAATTCATCCATTGCCTTCTGCAGATTGATCCAGGTACACAGAGCTGGAGAGGGGGGATAGAAGCAGCCCAGGTGTGCCCAGGTGTGTTCTTATGCACCTCTGCAACCAACAGGCAAGAGGGAAATGCAGAAGTCCTGTCAGGAACTTTATCCTGCACCTGAGTAGAATTTGTGCACCTCTGATATCCACAGGAGCTGATGGACTTGTCCAGCCTACCAGAGCACACCCAAAGACCTATGCCACTATAGCCCTGCTCACAGACCCCCTGTTCCCAGCCATTGGAAGCCAAATTTCCTCTACCATTTGTGGTAGATGAAATAGGCTCAATCTTCCCCGTCATATCCCACCCAAATAAACTGGTGTAGGAGCGCTGCCATTCAGGTGACCTCTCTGGACCTAACCCAAGTGCTGTATGGGTTCATCTTGTTCTGAGCCACTGGACTCACACACGTGTATGTGCAAATGTGCATCAAAAGAAGGCTTCTAGTCGAAAGAAAGGTGGCAGTGGCTTGAATGGGCTTCACATCTGGGGAATGAGAGCCCTCCTTGTTCACACCCCAGAGGGGTGTGCCCTGCCACATTCAGACCCAGCAAGGCTGCTGGAAGAGTCCTGTTTCCATGGACCAACTAAATTTGACGTTGCTGTAAGCGTAATGAAACATGAACAAATCCAGGACAAACAGCCAGTAAGAGCTGGATCCGTGGACACCCCGGCTCAGGCTTCAGCAGCTGCGGGCAGCTGGGAGGGGGACACACCACCTCTGCCCTGCTCCACTCGTGCCTCTGTACAAGCTGCTGTTTGAGACAGGACTACGCTGGGTAAATCTTTGGTTTACCCATGTTGGATGCTCGTGCATCCTCCTGTTCAGGCACTGCTTCCCCTGCCACAGGACCAGAAGAAAAGCATTTCCCTCCACCCTGACACACACAGAGCAGAAACCAAAAGCATGGGGCTTGATTCTGGGGTGCCAGCGGCCCCTTACCTGCTTGCTTGCTCTGATGTACACCTTCTCCTTCTCGATCTTCACCTGAGGGTGACAGAACAGCAGCGGTTTGCAGGGCAGTGAATGCCTCTGGCATGAGGAGGGTGATTGCTCCCTCTGTGAACAGCCCATGAACAGTGCAGTGGTCCCACCAGTCTCCTGTGAGAGCAGCTCAGGCCACGGCAGGATCCAGCCCAGCTCAAGGCTGTGGTATGTTTCCTGTCTCGTTCAACTGTGCACTGATGCTCAGTCTGAAAACTGATTTCTGCCTCTGGCTTTTGGCCGATTCCTCAGTCCCACCCCACTCCTGATCAAAGGCCTCCCAGACGGTGCACCTTCACCTCTGGGTTCCCAGTGCCCACGGGCGGGAGCAAGGGGAGCACCTCTGCGATGAGGAAAAGCTGGGTTTGTGTTATTCAGCCTGCAGAAGGCTCCAGGGAGATCTTGGTGCAACCTTTCAGTACTTACAGGGGGCTTACAGAAAAGATGGGGACAGACTTTTTAAAAAGGCTTATAGTGATGGGACGAGAGGTGATGGTTTTAAACTGAAAGAGGGGAGATCTGGACTGAACAAAGGGAAGAAACATTTTACTGTTAGGGCGCTGAGGCGCTGGCACAGGGTGCCCAGAGAAGCTGTGGCTGCCCCATCCCTGGCAGTGTTCAAGGCCAGGTTGGACACAGGGGCTTGGAGCAAGCTGCTCTAGTGGAAGGGGTCCCTGCCCGTGGCAGGGGTTGGAGCTGGAGGAGCTTTAAGGTCCCTTCCAACCCAAATCAGGCCGGGATTCTGTGATTTCCTCTGCTTCTGCAGAATGAAGGTCTCACCTGGAACCTGGGTAAGCTGTCCAAGCCAGGGAAGTCCTCTATGTCACCTGTGCTGATGTTGAAGCAAGCTCCATGCCAGGGACAGCGGACTCTTCCTTTGGACAAAACCCCTGCAGGGAACATGGCAATGCAGAGTTGGTGCTGCCCTGCAGCTGTCTCCTGTCCCTGCCTGCAGCCCACGGAGATGAAGCTGCTGTGACAAGGCCAGGGCAGGGTGGCAGAGGCAGGTATCCCTCCGTTGTCCTCGTGGTGGTGGAGTCCTTGCTTTCGACTGAAGCAGGGCTGACCTCCTGACAGCTGAATGTTGATGCCCAGGGCCTCCTGCAGTGGCAGGACCTGTCCTCCTCAAAGTTCACACTCTGACATGTCCCCATGACTCTCCTTTACCCAGAGGTGTGACCTTTCCTACAGGACGTGTGGCAGCTGTTGTGGACCTGGATGCTTAACGGCATCTTAGCCACTTGATGTGGAGTTATCTTCCCTCACACATGGGACTGCAGTAGAGGCTGAACAGTTATGAACTGGGATGCTGAATAAGCAATCCCAGCTGGAATGCCCTCACTGACAGTGCCCTTCCAGCACATGGGAGCACAGCTCCAGAGCTGTCTGCTCTGCCTGGAACATAACCTTGCTCTGTGGCAGGGCCTGGGGCTGCAGCCTTCAGGCTCTTGTCATCGCCTCCACAAGCCCCAGGAGCACGCAGAGCAAGCAGCGCCTCAAGCAGAGCACCACTTGTTTAGAGCAGGCGTGTTTCAGAACAGATCCTGGCACCGCATGGGGCCTGCCCACTGCCAGGGAAGCACAGGACATGCTGGAGCGACCAGCTCGCTCCTCACAAGTGCTTGCTCAGAGGCTGCTACCTTGGATTTAGGCCTTTGCTGCCCAAAAGCTCTTGTTCTCAGCCCTGGGGCAGAGTGAACAGCTACAGTCTGTGCTTGCACCTTCCGTTGCCAAGGCACAGCAGTGCCACATCTCATCACCCACATGCTGGGATGCAGGAGCAAGTCCTGTATTCCCCAGTGAGATCCCTGCATGAGCAGCCAGTCTGCAGTGTCAGGGCTGTGACTGCAGGTCTCTGAAAGGCAGACGGGCTTCTCTGCCCCGAGAGGGGCTAAGAGCATCCTCTCCTGCACCCAGCACTGTGCAACATGGGAACCCACTTCAACACCCCACCATCCCACTTCAACACCCCACCATCCCACTTCAACACCCCACCATCCCACAACAACATCCCACAACAACATCCCACCATTCCACAAAATTCCACCAGCAACATTTCTTTTTGTTACTGAAAGGATCCCATCAGCCCAAAGAACTCCTCCCCACCCCCCCATCAGGATGTGATTTACAGGAGCTGTGGGTTTGTGCGATTTTCTTATGAAACAAAATAAGGGGATGCCTTTTTCCCTTTAAGACATTTTTCAAACTCAGTGGCTGGAACTGGTGAACAGAATGTGAAAAGCCCCATAAAGCCAGGCTTTGCGTGGGGACAGGTAGCTGCAGCTCTTTCATACCATCCAGAGGCTCAGCTCCAGCTGAAGAATGAAGCAGAAGCTGAATTTAACAGTGCCCATGCTAGTTTTTAACTCAAAGTCACCCAAGGAATGCACAGCCCTGTGACAGGCTGTGACAGGCAAGCGGGGCTCACCAGCAAACCAGACCTATGGCAAAGTGCTCCCAGGAGGTTTGTGCACCCCCAGCTCCCTGCACATGCTTTCCCCCAGCGAGAACATACCAAGGTGATGCTGAGTGAGGGCACAGCCCAGCAGAGCAGCCAGATGGACACTGGGCTGGCTCCTGCCAACATTCCGATGCTCTCAGTGCCCCAGGAGGTGACACAGACTGACCTTTGACCAGTGGAGCCCCATAGTGGGGACACTTGTGTCCCACGGCATGGAACTCGCCGTTCTCCTTGATGAGCAGAGCCTTCCCGCAGCCCAGGTCCACTTCCCGCATCCTGCGGAGGAGGAGCACGGAAAACACATGGCAGAGCACCCGCCACCCCCTTGCCCAGCCCTGGTCCCACCAGGCCCCCCCTCCCCTTCAACCTGCTCACCACCAGCTCTAGGAGAACTACAGGCCTGGATCACCCCTGCCACCAAGCCAGCTTTGGAGCTGGCTCTACTGCTCCCAGCCTCGGCACATCCAAGCTGGGCCATTGAGGGGCAGCTTCTTCATCCATCACCATGTCAGGCGGTGGCCCAAAGCACCACCTCAGTTGCTCAGGAGGTGACTTGAGGTCTCCACCCAAGTGCAGAGGGTCAGAATGAAGCTTTCCAGCACGTAGTGGGAGCAAGAAACCAAACTGGTTCCAGTGTGACACCTCCCCTCCTCACCCCAGTAGAGCTGTCAGGCTGGTGTTCACTCGCCCAAAGCAAACACAACATTTCTCAGGCTTGAAATCCAGGACAGGTGGTTCTGACCCCTGGTGTGCTCCGGCCTTGGGGCTGTGCTCTGGGCCTGGCTACATCCCAGGTCACCAAGGTGGGTCACCTTTTCCTCAGAACTCCAAGCACCTCCATGTACCCTCCTCGCTGCCTTCGGCTGCTGTTTCTGCAGAGGAAATCTCTGCATCCTGGAGGCACTCTGCCTCTGTGCTGCTGCTGGCAGAGCCTTCCAGCTAACCACGGAGGAAAGCCGGGAGACAAGGAGTGAGCCCTCATTCTGCAGGCAGCTGGAGCAGAGCCGCTGTTCCCTGGAAACTCCCCCTCTTCCAGCCAGAAAGCCTGTGCCCACTTGGTCTTGATCTGGAACTCCTGGTTGCTCCTGTTGCACAAAGCACACCATCTCTACAGCAAGCCTGGCATGTTGCATTTCAGGTACCGAGTGCATCACTGTACACACAGCAAATCCCACATGCTTAGGAAAGCTATTGGCCACCTGTGAGCCCTGAACACTGGTCATGTACTACAGGTCTCAGAAGAATGGGACTCATTTTGCATGCTCATTCCTATTTGGGTAACATCCCCACAGAGCCCTGTCACTTGCACCCAGGCTAGAGAGACACTTGTCCTGCTCTCTGCTTCACAGCCATGGAGATGAGACCAGGGCCCAATGCACCAGCACCCCTGTACAGCCTTCAAACCCATCCTGGGCAAGTCTTTGTGCAGGTGCCTGCTCCACCTGCATCAACCGTCCCACTGGAGTAACAGCAAACGCTCGTGTCCTTGCCACCACAGGTGAGAACAGCAGCAGAGCTCACCAGGAGCAGAGCTCCTGCCCTTGGGAGCTGTTTTGTCCCAGTAATTGGCAGCCCCGCTCCGGAGCAATGCAGCTCTTCTCCCTCCCTGTGCAGGACATTCGGCACTTGGAAGTCCCTTGGTCAGCCCAAGGGGAATAGAGCAGTACAAGTCCTGCTGCATTCCTCAGCTGTGCAGTACTTCAGATAAACCCTGTGGTTAAATGACAACCATAACTCTATGGGAAGATAGATAAGTGAAAGAGTTTACAACTTACCCAAGGACCTGTGTGACCTGAGGGAGTCGAAAAGAAGACCGGGTGTCTTCAAGGCAGATCACAGCCACCTGCAAGCTCCTGATCCCACCCTCACTGCAGAGGTTGATTTGTGCTGCGCTGCTCCCTCCTGAGCTATTTACACAGTTGGGAATTTGCCCTGTTGCCCCATTCCACCCCACACCTGGGAAGCACCAGCTAAAACTCGTCTCTGGTCTGCAAAGGACCTTTGCTCAGAGGGAGCACTGGGGCTTCTTTCTGTCTGTAGCTCACTGATGTCCCTGCAGTGAGCCTGCTGGGAGGCTGGCTGGGCACAGCAGCACCAGAGTTTATCCGCCAGTATCTTTTATGGTTATGCTGAGACCATCTTGGTACCAGAAAGACCAGAAATGATGGCATGAAAGAATATGTTGAGTGCTTGCAGACTCCACCAGCACAAGCACAAGGTAGAGGTGCCTAAACACTTGTGCGGTGCCCTATGTTGCTGCTGTGCCTATGCACGCCCCTGCCCAGCATGCCCCTTGAGAGGAGGGATTGAGAAGGTTTTCCAGATTGGAAAATCCCTCCAGTTATCAGAGTCAGGAGGAGTTCCTTTGGTCTGGCTCATTGCTTACATGAGCTACGGGACCTTCTTGCAGCACCTCTGTTTTCAGCTAGATTCAGCCTGCTTGTAAAAAAGCTGTTGTCACCTTGAACTGAAAATGGTGCAAGCCTGTACTGCACTTGGTGGCGTGTTCCAGTACCTGGGGGCACACACAGCTGAAGTGTGAGCCTTCTTTCCAGACCGGTGGCAGCTTCAGCTGCAGAGCTCCCTGCTACAACCACCTGCAGCCAGGTAGGTTTTCCCAGGCTCCAGCCAGCTCCCTCCTCACCATCCCTGTGACCAGCAGAGCTTTTTGAATCATTGAATCATTGAATCATTGAATGGTTTCAGCCTGTTGAGGAATTCTGCTACAGAACATCCCATCTTTTGAAGATGAGGCCCAGTGCAGATCGTGCAGGAGCAGCAGGCTGTCTGGTTAAAGAAAAGTTGTCACTTGTCCATGACGTTTTTGTAAGATGAAGAAAAGAAGCTTATTTTACCAAGGCAAGTTATCATCTCTAGAACCTCTGAAGAACAAGACACAGGGTTCGATTTGGGGTAGAAGGTCTCTCAGTTCTACCTGTAAAAATTGTAGGCACTTACTGTCCATTCTCCAGGTCCTTCACGTGGCACACGGATGCTTCCACCACGTCCTTTGGGTTGTGGTAGGGGTTGCTGGCAATGGGATGCTCCTCGAGATGATAATGCCGGGCAGTCCCGTTGACTTTGTAGATCAGAGGGCTGGCTTTCCCATTGGGTGACATCTCCTCCTTGCTTCTTTCCTTCTCGGGTATCACAACTTCAATTTTTACTTCAACTGCAAGAGCAAACAGATGCCAGAGGTTTTGTGGCCATTCTCCCTCCTTCCCTGGGCTTCAAAAGGGGCTGACACACACCAGAATATTTCTGTGTTGGTTTGCTTGGGAAGACAGAACATTTAGTATCAAACTCAGCTTGATTACCCCAGCCCATTATTCCACTGTTCTTTCTCCATCAAGCACCTTTGCATGCATAGAGTACATATTCTTGAAAGCAAACAACAGTCAGTGCAAAACAAGCCCTCAGTCACAGTTCCTGTCCTGCTTCATGGAAAACAGCTTCAGGCAGCTAAATGTGAGGCATACCAAGGCCATGGGGCTCAGACTTCAGAAAGCCCTTGAATTGTTGGTAGGTTACACTAACTGAACGAGAAAGGCAGAACTGTGTGGTGGGTAAAGATGCTTCAGTAGATGGAGACCATTTAATAAGGCACTAGAAATATCCAAAATTATTTTGCATGGGGTTTCCAGCATGGAGTGAACCCTTCAGCATCAAGTGAGAAAATCCATTGGTGAGGCGCTGGCACAGGGTGCCCAGAGAAGCTGTGGCTGCCCCATCCCTGGCAGTTTTCAAGGCCAGGTTGGACACAGGGGCTTGGAGCAAGCTGCTCTAGTGGAAGGGGTCCCTGCCTGTGGCAGGGGTTGGGACTGGATGAACTTTAAGGGCCCTTCCAAAACAAACCAGCCAGGGATTCTGTGACACCAAGGCAGTCCCTTTGCTGGGTACCTGCTGGGAGCTGCGCTACTGCTGTGGAGCTCCAAGAATAAATCTGCTCACAGCAGTATTTTATCTTAATGTTTTTTAATGCACGTTTGAACATTTGCAGGAGCTCCTGCAGGTGCCACACTGCAACAGAGGTTCACATTGTCTGTTGGTTCAGCATGGATACACAGAAAATGGCTTTACTGGATCTGTTCATCAGACACCCCCGGTTAATCCTGCCCCCGGTAGGTCTGGCACTTGGATCAACCTCCCCTTGACCTTTTCTTCCATTGTCTTCTCAAGGGACTTGAAACTAGCAGCGTGAGGCAACAGGGGAAGCTGGGAAGACCCAACACCCTTTTCTTGTTGCAGGGCTTGTCTTGCTCTTCTGAGGCATGCTGTTCCCTCCCTTTGCCTTTCCTTAACCTGTTTATGTCATGAGCTTTATTTTTTATCTTCTGCACAGCTTCTCCTGTTCATGACATTTCTGAGATGAGGAAAGCTGAGCAACCTCCATTTTGCTTGAGATGCTTCTTCAGTCTCTGGCACTTACCCCCTGGCTCTCTGTAGAACTCCCTGGGGTTTATTATGAATATTAATGGTTTTAGTTCTATGAAATCCCTGGGAGCTGAGGTGATGGGCTTGACTTTATAATGTGAGAGCTCATCACTGGCTTCCTCTGGTGCTCCTGTAGCCAGCTCACCCCAGACAAGGGGGTGCGAGCGTGTGGGCTCCCCCACCACTGCGGGGGTTGGGGGGCCTGGCAGCACATCCTTGTCTGGCAGGAAGACATGAAGGGGCACCCCCAGCTGTGCCTTGCTCCATCACTGCCGGTGGCGGCATGCAGGGTGGCTGGTAGGGCTGAGGGGTCTCACTGGCTCTGGTGTCCCTTCTGATGGTCAGGGGCAGTTCCTGCTTGTCCCTGGGTCCCCTAGTGCACAGTAAGGGATGCTTCTATTGTCAAACCTGTTCAGTGGTGTACACTGAAGTAAACCAGCTTTTCATAGGGTCTCAGACTGGTTTGGGTTGGAAGGGACCTTAAAGCTCATCCAGTTCAAACCCCTGCCACTGGCAGGGACACCTTCCACTAGAGCAGCTTGCTCCAGGTTGCTGGGCTTAAACCATGACATCTTCCCACAGCCAACAGAGACTTAACACACCACCATGGGACAGGTCTGGGGGCTCACTGTCCCCCCTGGAACTGAGCTCTCCAGGCACCCCCCAGGCTCAACCATGCTGCCTCTGAACTGCAAACCTCGATGACAACAACTTCAGGTGGTCTCAAAGAGACTCCAAACCATTTCTATTAACAATAGCAGAGCTATCAAGAAAGCAATTATGTCAGACATGCCCAGGTCTACCTTCCTCCTCCAGGTGCCCTTTTCAGCACAGGACACACTCCCAAAAAACAGGGGGTAGGGCTTGCCAGCCAAACGTGGGGGCACCTCAGAGCAAAGCATCCCCTCCAGCAGCAGGCAGCATCCCTGTGAAGGGGACACATCCCCTGCTCAGAGCCAAAGGCCCCTCTGTGCGAGGACAAAGTACCCCGCAGACACACCGTGCCGTGCCAGAGCTGCCCCCCCATCACAAGCTGAGCCCAGCAGAGTGCAAAGGAAAATAGCCACCAGGGTTTGGAAGCTCTCTCATGCCTGGCGCAGCGATGGTGCCGCTGCAGCTCACACCAGGCAGCCCCTGCCCCACCTCAGGTCCCTTCACTCTCACCCTGAGCTGGCTGCCTCTCCCGGAGCAGGCGCTGGGATCCCACACAGGCTGCCAGCTGGCAGCTACTGCGGATGCACCACGCTCGCGCAGGGAAAAGCAGGGCAAAAATGATGCAGAGACTGAGAGCAGGGCCTGCGGCAGAGGATCCGGCTGCACAGGGCTCTGCAGCACCGGAGGGAATAGCAGATGACGTCACTGCTTGAATATGATAAATACTTGAATATAATGAATATAATTAAACACTTCAGGGCCAGGACGGGCTCAGGCACTGCTGCAGCACTTCAGCGCTGGTCTCCAGTACAGCCAGCACAGCTATTTACTGTTGCAGGACTCCACTCCCCAAAGCTCTGGTACTTGTGATCTGCTCATCAAGAGTTCCTCCTGGCACACAGCAACGTGTGTGCAGTGTCAAGGTTATCTCGAGATACACTGAGGATGCCCAGGGAGGGGACCGAGTGTCCCTCTCAGATATAAGACGATGGACCAGACAAGGACCTCCTGTACATATTTCAAAAGCATCTAAATGCATTCTGATGACTTCAGGCTGCATCTGAAATAGTCCCTTCATGTCGCGACAGCACTGGTGGAGAAAACAGCCCTGCTCTGTCCCCCCGTGGTTTACTTCTCCTGCATACAGGGGGAAGGTGGGTTTTCAGAAAGTGGGAAGTCAACCGGTGGTGCAGGGGAGAGACAAACAGCACTGAAAGCTGTGAAACCTCTTTGCCAGAACAATCAGCATCTGCAAACACGTTTACCTCGCTGCTTGTATAACCACCGTGATGAGGCTCCGCAGGCATCGGTGTGCTAACCAGGGCTGGGGAAAGGCTTGTCAAAAGCCTTTGAAGTCTGCTAATGAAAGGCAGAGCTGCAGAGAAAGCCTTACATTGCAGGGTGGCATTTTCAGTCATTCAGCCCTGCTATGCAAATACAGCTCTCTGTGAAAATCTGCCCTTCAGGAAATGCGCCTGCAGAGCGCTCTTATCCCCCCACTGGCCCAAGACTAAACACGACTTTGCTGATGGTACATGAAATAAAGTGGAGCTGCCAGCAGTTTGTCACAAGTTTAGCCAACGAAGGCATTTACTACCGGATGCATTTTCACTCCTTAAACAGTTCAAGGAAGGCTATAACCAGTGAGGGTTTTCACAAAAGAAATCTTAGCACTCACAGTGTAGTGTCTGACGCTGCTACCTTGGCTCTGCAGTGATCCATAAAGTCATCACAGTGCAGGTCTAGGGCAGAAAACCACCACATTATTGTGGATCCTGAGTGATTCCCCTCGCACTTGGGCACAAGCACATAACAAGGACAAGGTCGTCCTTCAGCTCCCTCTTAGGTGGCCAAAACAAGATGCAGGATGAGAGCTCTCCTCGTAGGGAGCTTTGGTAACACTGACTGCATCAGCATCCATTTCCAGGGGACCAGCACTGGGGTGATGTGGGTGCTGCTGGGTATGATGAGCTTGCCCTGTCCACCCTGCCCTTGAACACTGCCAGGGATGGGGCAGCCACAGCTTCTCTGGGCACCCTGTGCCAGCGCCTCAGCACCCTCACAAGGAAGAGCTTTTGCCTAAGAGCTCATTTCAGCCTCTGTTCTTTCAGTCAGAATTATCCAAACTTATCCATTTGATCAAACTGTGTCACAGCATCACTGGTAAAGGAGAGTGCGAGGGCCCCACACTCATGGCACATGGGAAATCCAGAGAGTGGAGCAGCCGCAGGATCTGGCCTGGCTGGTGGGACTGAGAAAGCACCAGGAAATCAAGCAGTAGGTGATCCTGCTCCTTCCCTGGTCGTTTTCTTCCAGCAGTGACAAAACTAAGGGCTGCCCAGTGAGTGCCAAAGCTGGGGTAGTAAGGAAGGTGCTGGAGCCATGTATGAGGACCATATGGGGACAGACAAATTCACCCTGGGGCATTAGGGGGCAGAAGCAGTGAGGGTAGCGGGGGCATGAGGAGACGGGACAGGGAAGACCCGGCAGGGGGTGTTTGGATGAGTTGGAGAGTGCAACCCTCCCCCAGCACCTCCCAGCACCTCTGCATCCCCAGCACAGCTTCCTGCAGGAGGGAGAGTGTGGAGGAATGTGGGGGGATTAAGGGGCTGGTAATCCTCCCTGCAGGAGCGAAGAATTAACATTCCCCCGGGCAGCGGCTGCCACTGACCTACTTCTCCCCGAGGGATGGAAGCAGTCACCTGGTTTAGGTTTGGAGAAGCATCCTCCCATGGCGCTGGGTGAGGCAGGGTTAGCGGGCAGGTCAGCACGGCTGCAGGCACATCTCGGCTTACACCACTGCTCACTGCTCACACCGGCCTGGGCTCGACGTTGGTCACAACCTGCACCGGGCAGAAAAGCTCCATGAGCACTGGCAGCAGCAGGGAATGTGGGTGCTGCAGGGAGTGGAACTCAAGCCAGCACCTGCACCAAGCCACAGGTGATGGAGCACAGGGGCAAGTCACACGGAGCCCCAGGCACCCTGATGACACGAGGGGGGGGGAGATGTGACGCTGGGGTTGTCGTGCTGGAGTTGCAATGAATTCGGGTGTCAAGTTCAAAACTTCAATCATCCTTTCAAAGTTTAAAGTTCCAAAACCCCTCCAATCCTTCACATTCAGACTTTAATCACTTTCCAAAGCCCTGCCTTTGGGAATTAAATCTCTAGGCATGCAGGTCACAGCCCAAATACAATGGTTAAACCATAAATACATCTCTAGTCAGGTTTGTTTCTTTCATTAGTAGGTGATGGAAAAAGAAATCTACTTTATTGCCCAGTGCTGTAAGTTCCTAAATTCCTCCTTTCCAGTAATGCTCATTCCTGCAGAAAACTCATTCACTTTGAAACAAATTCTTTAGGAAAGGGGTTTCAATATGAGGCCATTTTGCATCAAAACACAATTTTTTGTATTATTAAGGCAAGATTTTTTGATGTTTAAGTGGGACAGGCAAAGAGTCCCCTTCAAGTTGTATTTATCTCATTAAGTGATGGGGCTCTCAGGTAATCACAGACTAATGGAATCATAGAATGGTTTGGGTAGGAAGGGACCTTCAAAGGTCACCTAGTCCAACCCCCAAAGGCTAAGAATTAGAACAAACCTTTTCAGTTATACTCCTTGCCTGAAAACAGCAATATTCACACAACACAAGTGGCAATAAAACAGAACATTGAATTCATTTTGCCCATTCACACCTGCACTTGCACTGACTTGCTCTGGGCTCACCATGTATTTTCCACAAAGCTTTCTGATCTGGGCAGGAAGTTAAAAACGTTTCCAGAGGATATTCTAACACAGGTGAAGAGTGTTCAAGATCTCTCCAGCGAGAAGACGACGCAGCAGCGCCAGGAGGCAGTACCAGGCACTGCAATTGCTCCCTTTTACTTACACCAACTCGAAATACCCAGACTCATCCCTTTGTTTTCAGCTATATCTTTCTAAAACAGACACACTCCTTCCCACAGACCTTCAAACTCCACTTCGGCCATGCATGGTGTGAGCTCCACCTCGGTGCATTGCAGGAGCACCTTCAAAGCCTGATGCATGCTGAGTAAGTAATCCAGGCTATAGAAGAACGAGAGATGGGCGCCCTGCGTGCCGGGCAAAGCAGACACTGAGGAGTGCCAGGACAAAACCAGGACAAACCAGGACAAAGCCCACACAAGGTTACCTGCAGACTACAGAGTGATGAAATGTGCTGGGAGCCACCAAGCGAGCTCATTTGCAAAAGGGGGAACATAAAATAGAGCAGGAAAGAGCCAAGACCTCTTCTCGCAAGAGCAGCAGCACCCAAGGAAAGCAGCACACCAATATATATGCAAATGCAAGAAAATGCCATGTAAGAAGGTACATAAACACTGGAACTTTTGGGAGCACCAGGGAAAAACTGAGCAGTCACATGCAGTAAGTGCTGTACCAAAACTGGCAGGAAGAAAGGAAAAAAGGCTTTGTACCAGAGAGAGACTCAAGCCATTAATGTATCAGTGAGACAGGACAATAAATTAGTGTAAAATATAGAATAAAATGGCATGAAAAGGTTGGCAAAACTGGAGGCAGGAGGTGGGTGCCAAAGAGGAGCCAGTGACGCGGATGAGCTGGGGGCTGGGGGGGGGGGAAGGGATCCAGAACATCCCCAGCATCAATCCAGAAGGGAAAGTAAAGCTGCATAAGCTGCATTTAAGTGAGTTCACACCAAAGATGCTGCTGTGAGCAGAACATGAGCCATGAACAGGAGAGCAAAGAGAAAGCTGAAATGAAGATCCTGTCACCTGCACAGATCCTACACCGAGGTCTGCCATAGCCCAGTTCCCACAGCCAAACCCCCCGGAGCAGCCACTTGCTGCAGGTTTCCTGCAGCAGAAAGTGGACACCGAGCCAGCAGGACAGGGCTATTCAGTTGCCCAGGCAGCACTGGAGCAAGCCCTTGGGATGCTGCACACGTCGGGGAGCACAGAGGGGACACCCACCCATCCACCCCAATCTGCCAGATGGGATGGATGACACAAGAGTGACTCCCAAATGTGCCTCCTCACCTCGACCTCCTCCAACACCCCCCCCCCCCCCCCCCCCCCGAGATATTGATGCGATCTGATGGCCGTGGGACTGGTTTCCAGCTAGCCTGGCTGGTTTTAGAGGGACTGGGGGGATGTCCTGTCCCTAAGTGTCAGCCATTCATCTGAGATGCCTTTGCTTTGTTTCACCTTAAGGACAGCAGTCTGCAGCCATCCCCCCAGGCTCGCATCACAACTCCTGATTTGATCACTGATGCTTCCCCCTGGGCCCTTTGGAGACATAAAACGTGCTCAGGCTGACTAAGCCACCCCCAGCCTCCTAGAGCAGAGCAGTGCATCTCTAGGGGCCCCTCCTTCGTTCCTGGAGCTAAGCAGGCAAAAGCAAGATGGTTTTTGTAGGATTCCAGCTGATGCTAACAGAGAAGGATCCATCGGGCTGCCCACAGCCTCAGTCTCAGCTAGCGCAGAGATGCTTCAGAAAGTCACCCAAGACCCAGCTGGTTGCTAGAAGGCATCAGCCTGCCCTGCCAGACCAACATGAAACACAATGGGACCATGCCTCTGCTAGCAGCATCCAGAGGTATGGATCTGGAGCTGGATCCTGCAGGAGTCATGGCAAAATCTCCTCTTTGTTAGGGAAGGGAAATAAGCTCACATACAACACGATGTAACTGAGCCCAGGATCATCTGTAGAGCCTTGCTAGCCCTTAAAGGCTAATGCACTGACATATACAAAGTCAGGGAGCTGATGTCCATGCCCCGGTAAACCAGTTCATAATCTGCTCCCTGAGCAATACAGCACTTTGTGCTTCACAGCTGTACAGGAACAGCTTCAGCATCTGCTCCAAGAGGGCAACAAGAAGGCAGGTATCAAAAATACGTTGTGGTGCTGAGGAACATGCTCTAAAAACTCCCTCATGAATGGGGAATCGAATCAGCCCTGCAACAGGCTGTCTGCAAAAGAGGACTCCAGCATCACCCACAGAGAGCACTGCCCAAGAGCATAGAACCAGAGAAACCACCCTGCTCCCAGACAGAAGAAAGATGAAAAACAATCCAACAGGAAAAAGGTAGAAAACAATCCAGAGCTACTAACCCCAAGCACTTCACTGCACAGCAGTAAAGCTGCAACACTGCAACAAGTTTTTACTGAAGGCAAGGGACATACATCTGCTGTGCCTCCGAAATCCTTCCCAAGTGCTACTGTGTTAAGTTTGTAAGTACGTTGCACATTGCACATAAAATTAGTATTCTTCCCCTGAGCATCAGTTTGTGTCTATTGAAACACCCATTTCACCACCTGGGCACCCAGGTCCATCCCATCCAGCTACGCCGTCTCACAGGCGGCATCTGTTTTGCTGCCGTGGCTATTCCTGGTTCCCTGCCTGGAAGCCTCGCACCCGTCCAAGCACTGAGCCATGCACAGGGACATAGGCACCGATCAATGTGCCACCCAAGCTCGCTCCAGCTGGGGATGTCAGCCAGAGACCGCTCCATGGGGAGCACAGAGCGCTGCTCGGGGAGCGAACAGCCATGATTCCCGTGCTGTGGAAGGGGTGCTGGCGCACACGGACACCGGCTGTGGCCTCTCCTGGCTCCTCCATATCCCCTTGCTGAGCTCTTGCCTGCACCTTCCCTTTTCACAGGCATCATCCTGACCCGAGCTGCCCCTTGCCTGGTCCTGGCCAGGTCAGCCCCGGGTGCCACCAGAGGAGCAGGGAGGGCTCTTCCTGTCCTTTCCCCTCTTGCCCAATACAAGTTCCCTGTTGTTTTTGTTGGACAAAAGGGGAATTTCACCTCCCTCTGCAGCGCTGAGCATGGGCCCTGGCCAGGTTCCTGGGGCCATTTCTGGCCAGTGATGTCCCGCTGCTCCTGCAGGACCAAGGTTCCCGCTGTGTCTGTGATGTCTCCACCTTCCTTCCCTGCAGCAGCTTTGTTTTTCTAGTTTTCAGTGATTTGTAGTGGAGGTCATCTCAGGCAATGTCCCACAGCTCCATCTTCAAAAGGAGCTGCTGGTTTATAACTGCCCCTGCATACAATAAAATTATTTCTTTACTGTATCTTAGTTCTGTTGCCTGCAAATATGCCTTCTTCTGCTCCAGAACTTTGACCTTCAGAAGCATTATCTGTTACTGCAGATAATTTTTGGACTCACAGCAATATTACCACCATTTGCAGAACTCAGCACTTTCCTCTCAGGACATCCTTCGTGGATGTCTCTGAAGAGTCTATATCACAACACAAGTCATTTCTTTCCTGCTCAGTGTTAAGGACACCTAAAATGGGTCTCACCAACACCCTTGTGCTCTGCACACATGAATCTCACCAGCTGCCACAGTCTACCCAGGTCTGAGAGAAGGCCCTGGGGCTGGGAGAAGGAAGTCAATGCAGGTGTCTGTACTCAGGGATAGCACCCAATGGACACCTGGAGTCTTAGGAAGGCCTCTGATGTCCATCAATAATGTCTTTTTCTACCACAAATGTCTTTTTCTACCACACTTGTTGCTCAGGTGAGAGATTCTCTCCAGTTGTCACACATGGCTTGTTTTCCACCTGAATGCTTTATTCTGGGCAGAATTGATCTTCAAAGACTGGAAAGCAGAACTATCCAGGTTGGACAGGGCTTGGAGCAACCTGCTCTAGTGAAGGTGTCTAGGGGGGGATTGGAAACAGATGAGCTTTAAGGTCCCTTCCTACATAAACCAGGTTGGGATTCTATGCTTCTATCCTATCTAGAAGCCTGGACACAGGACACACACAGCCCTGTGACCCTGGGTTCCTCCCCTACCAGCACACGATGCCATGCACACCAGAGGACACAAGGTAGCTCCCCATCTCCTGGAAAACTTGCTTGTGTGCAAACAAACAGCCTTGCCTGCTCTGCAGAGCGAGGACTGTGCCTTTTCCAGCCAGTGATACCCAGCCCTGCAGGCTGCAACCCCAAAGCAGAGCACAGGAGGAGTGCACGGCTGGAGGCTCAGAGCATCTGGTGGTACTCTCCGTACTTGCGGGGCAGAGCTGCCCCTGGCTCTGGTCCCTGCTGTGTCAAATAACTACCCCTGACCCCAGACCGCCCCCTCTACCGCAGTGCTGCCTCCCTGCCGCTTCTCATACGTGCAAATATTGTCTTTAACGCGAGGCCCAGCAGGGAGTGGGGAGCAGCCCCAGCAGCAGACCTGCTTCAGACACACCCTGCACACAGCAAGCAGAGCCCAGTACACAGCACAGCCCGTCCCGCGAGCAGCCCAGGCACTGTGCCTCGGGTACAGGGCATAGCCTCTGCCCATCAGGTCCTGAACCTCACAGCAACCCAGGGCCCCCATTTCCCACCCGGCTCTTCACCCCATGCGGTGGCACCGAGCAGTAGACCCCATCTCCCAGCTCCACCATCACCCTGTGTGGCTCTATCCCAGACGGGTTCAGACGCACCCTGACCCACTGCACACCAGGCTCATACTCCTGGTGCCCTCCTAAGACAAGGGCTGTCCATTTCTCTTCCTGCTCTGGGGATTTGCTCTGGTTGGACTCGCACTGTGACTGCTGGAGCTCTGTGGTGGGTCACCACCACCCTGCCGGGCCTCCACTGCTCCCATCCCTGACAAGTACACCCAGACCATCCTCCTCCATCACCTCAAGGTCAGCTCCTGTTTCACCTTGGTCCCCCTGTGCACAGCTTCATGCCCCACTTCTCCTCCATCTCTGCTCAGTGGGACACCCCAAGCCATCAGTGATGCTTCTTACTTCCACCTCCTCAGCAATTCTCAGCAGTTTCTGCTGCTCTGTGAGCAGAGGACATTAATAAAGATATCTAAGTATCCCAAGGGTGCAGCCCCACTGGCCAGCATGCCTACCTGTGGGCACACTGAATGGCTGCTCCATAGCTCTCTGTGTTGCTTCCACAGTCCTGCAGAGAGCAACTCCATCGACAACCATGGTCACTGCTGGCACAAAGTCCTGCTGACCCCCTGAGATGCCCACAGCCTCCCTCTGCCCATGCAGGGGTCTGTCCCCCTAGAGCTCTGACACCAAGGGCATGGCCAAGCTGCCACAGCCCGCAGCCAGGAAGAGAAACTCCACAGTTCAGCATCAGGAGCAAGGACTGGCTCAGCAGAGTCAAACTGCCTCATCCTCGGGGCAGGCTGGGCTCTGGTGCCAAGGAAAGCAGGTCTCTGGATGTGGGACTCAGCACAAGCCAGGCACGGCCGGAGAATAGCGCCCCACGGAGCGTGCTGTGCGCTCTCTGTTATCCAGGCAGCGCGCAGCAGCCCGGCTCTGACCCCGGGGAGTGCACAGGATTTGCCTGCCACGAGAAAAGCTGGAAAAAGCCGGTGGGAAGGCAATCAAGTCACACAAGAGCGTGATGGGGGACGATGGGTTCAGGGCAGGGAGAATTTGTATCGTAAAATCATTTGGGGGTGAAAACTGTCTCCATCCTGAAGCTGTCAATTCTTTTCAGGAATTGCACTACGAAGGATGAACACAAGGCTCCCACAACACCCCAGCCTGGCACCTGCACAGACATGGGGAAACATTCTCATTAGTGTGACTGCCTCTGGTCCCTCCACCTCGACCCTGGACATGGTCATGCTGCTCGCAGGAACATGCTGTGCACTGCTGTCCATACCCTGCCTGCGCAGCACATGAACCAAAATCAAGGGGGCTGGTGCCCTGGAACGCCCTTCTCCCTTCTCTCCTCCCCCTGGCAGCCCAACCTCCCCTTGACCTCTGCAGCTCTACACCCCCTTTCTTTCCCTTGCACAGCTCTCCATCCAGTTCCCTTCCCTCTGCCCAACTCTCCTGCTCCCAGTCTCGTGCCATTTCCATACCAGTCCTGACTCTGCTCCAGGGGTCCCTCAGTTGCTGACCCCCAGCACCAGCAGAGCCCCACTGGTCTCCTCCTTCCCCCCATGCTCCTCCACCACCGTGCCACCCCAGGGCCCCCAGCCCCTGCCGCTTCCTCAGCACAGCCCTTCCCACCGAACCTTCACCTCTCCAGCTGCATCCTGGTGGGCACCGAGAGTTGCTTTGCACCGCCCTGGAGTAAAGATGGGTTTGGCTTTCCCAGGTAATTTGCCCCAAGAAACAGAAGCAAAACTCATGCTGCAAAGTGCCAGAACTGCCTCACAGCCCCACGGATGCCCACGTCCTGGCACACTTCACCTTGTCTCCTTGTCACTGGGAGTTTGTGTCAGCAGCAGCACAGGGAGTTCTGAAGCTGCCGTTTACCGTGCCCTGTGAGCTCCCAGAGCAGTGCAGCGGGAGCGGTGTGACAGACTACAATTAACCACAGTTATTTTACTGACTGCTGCTTCAGCAGTTTATAGGCTCCAGGTTAAAGGCTCATTCAGCAGCACTGTCATTGTCACCCCTCCAAGCACGTCCTCTGCAAGCTGGATTGGAAGTAATTCAACATGGGAGTTCGTTCAGATCTCAAAGGGATGCCAGCAGAAAGTGCAAAGGCTGAACATGCTCCCCAGGTGTAGACTGCCTAATGAAAAAAATCAAAACACTTCACAACACAGAGGAGTTTTAATGCTCCATCTGTTCCAGGCAGCCAAGTCCTCTCGCTGCTATCACCGCCCGTTCAGGATTGCACAAGAAAAACCCGTGCTCCTACAGAAGCTGCAAGCAGTGCAAGAGGACTTTATCACGGCAGTGTTTTCCAAGACTAACAGCTAAAGCACACCACCAAGGCACTGGGAACTGGATGTTCCCTCTCAAAGGAGACCATGCCATCACCCACACTTCTGCTAATGCCGTTTCCCCACTACTCAAGCAAGGCACCCGCAAGTAGCATCCTGCCAGTGCCCCAGCGCTGCTGTGACACCCAGGCTCTTTTTGCTCAGACGGAACCACAGCCCCCAAATCAGCGACAAGCAAGCTTGGAGAACACGCTGGGGAGGGGGGAAGACCCCAAACCCGGGGCTCGGGTGATCCGCGGCTTTTCCCCGACACGCATCGCAGACCGATCTTTTCTGCACTGATGCCTTAAGCCGTTGCTGCATCTCGAGAAATGCGAACATCACCGGTTCAGCCGCACGGCTGCGCCGCTGCCGGACGCCCATGCCCCAGCCCCGGCCCCGCAGAGGAGCCTCCGGGACCGGTGCAGTCCCCCGGTATCCCGGCTCCCACCGCCCGCTCCCCATCCCCCACCGGACCGGAGGTGCGGATGCGGCAGCGGCCCCGCACCAGGATTTTCCCCATCAAGGATTCCACCCCCGACCCCGGCGCTTACCCGGGCAGCAGCGGCGAGGCTGGGGCGGGTGCGGCGGACGGGAGCGCGGCCGCCCCCGGGGCGGGCCGGGGCGGGCCGGGGAGGGGCCTCCGCCCGGGACACGGCTCCGGCTCCGGGGCTCGGGGTTGCTGCTGGCCCGGCTCCCAGCGCACGCGATGCTTTTGCCGGGCAGCGCGGGGCTCGGCCGCCCGCAGTCGGGGCCGCTCCCGGGTAACATCCGAGTCCCGTCCCGCACCGCGTGTTCCACGTTTTCCTCCTGAATTCCCGTTTCTCTGCTCTCCCTCGGACACAGCGATCTCCTCCCGCTCCTGACTGACTGGCACGTCACTGCTCTCCCCGGTAAACTGTTTTCTTGCCGTCATACCCCGTCTGCACGAGTGTTAGCATTCCAGATCTTACAACCTGAAAGTGTTCAAGGCCAGGCTGGACGGGGCTTGGAACAGCCTGCGCTAGTGGAAGGTGTCCCTGTCCCATGGCAGGGGGTTGGGACTGAATGAGCTTTAAGGTCCCCTCCAACATGAACCATTCTATGATCTCTGTGTGCCTTTTCTTTTGTCTCCATGACTTTGAGACCACTCTGGATACAGAGAAAGGTTTTGTCTCGCCTGGCTACAGATTGTCTTGTGTCACTGCTCTCTGACACCCTGATGATATGACTCCTCAAGGTTGTCCAGATGGGTCACTGCCCTCTGACACACAGCTTTAGTTACTTGCTCAGTGCTCCAAACAAGCAAGGGGCCTAACTGGGCTGTTCAGCTGTGATGTTCACTGAGGGTAAAAAGCACTATCCATGGGTAGAGCCTGTGGACACAGGCGCTCCATGTACCTCTTCGGCCTTGCAAGAGGGACTGTGGAGCACTGGGCACGTGCACAAGCAGCAGAGAAAGAGCATCCCTGCACATGGTGAAGCCAGGCTAAGAGCTGGGCTGGTTCAGCCTGGAGAAGAGGAAGCTCCTTAAGGGGAGGCCTTAGAGCAGCTCCAGTGCCTAAAGGGGCTCCAGGAAACCTGGAGAGGCTTTGGACGAGGGCCTTTAGGGACAGGCCAAGGGGAATGGCTTTAACCTGCCAGAGGGGAGACTGAGATGAGCTCTTAGGCAGAAGCTCTTCCCTGTGAGGGTGCTGAGGCGCTGGCACAGGGTGCCCAGAGAAGCTGTGGCTGCCCCATCCCTGGCAGTGTTCAAGGGCAGGTTGGACACAGGGGCTTGGAGCAAGCTGCTCTAGTGGAAGGTGTCCCTGCCCATGGCAGGGGCTGGAGCTGGAGGAGCTTTAAGGTCCCTTCAGCCCAAACCAGGCTGCGATTCCATGATAAATACACAGAACTAATGGACAGTGCATACCCCTGTTACTGCTCTCTTGCGGTGCAACCTTAGGCTCTAGGCACTGACTCCACCACTCCCACACTGGGCACTGCCAGGACTGCAGCATCTGTCACTGAAATGCCTGTTCCCCCTTTGCCAGGGCAGAGGGTGCTCTGGATGTTGCTGGCATTTATGGCCCCTCTTGCCTGGCCCCTGGGCTGCCCAGTATGCTGCTGACCCTGCCAGGTCCGCAGAGGTGCAGCCCTGCACCGTTACCCCCTCACACACACCCCACTGCCTCAGGGACAGGATGGGCTGGACTCCTGCAGCCTGGGGCAGGCGGAGCCACGTCCTGCCCAGCCCGGGCACACTCACGGATGGCAGAAAAGGGAGGGCTGGGATGAAGGGCAGGTGTTGGGGTGACCTGATAACTCAGTGGGGACCCTCTGGCATCCGCAGACCTGCTTTCCAGGTTGGATCAAGGCCTCTGCTGTACCATTCCCTTGGGAAAATGCTTTACCACTGCCTTTCCCACAAAAGGAAATCCCAGAAAAGGAGCTGGTGGAAGAGAAGGGAAAATGGAAGGTAATAAGGGAGAGGTTGTATGAATGGAGCAGCCCAGGGAGAAAAGCCAGTGCAGGCAGGGAAGCAGCGAGGTGCAGCTGGAGGAGGAGGGCTCAGCAGAGGCATGACTCTGCTTTGGTCAGCCCTGACGTCACCCAGCACTTTCGGTTTCGTAGCGAAGCAAGGAAGCCAGGATCTTGCAAGGAAGCAAGAAGCCTTGGATTTTTGTGATGGCTGAAAGAGACCCCAAGGAGGGTGATGGGCCCTTCACCTGCGGTGCTGGTGAGTTCAACGAGTTTAGTCTCTTCATTAAGACTTTGTGGGGCAAAACGCTTTCAGTGCCAGTGTCTCTGGAGGACTCCGTAGGAGTTTTTGGTCAAGATGAACGCATAGGACTCCATCACGTCCCCAAAATGTTAGAAGTTGTTCTATAATTAAAACAGATGGAGGACAACCTGACACTGAAATCAAACCCAACTGCCTTCTGTACTGTAACCTAAGGTGAAAGTGCTGGGTGGCCTGGGGATGTAGGTGATCTGGAGGCAGTGGAGGGACAAGCAGGTGCAGACTGAGGTGTCTCCAGAGGAGGGACCTCATCAGGACTGCAGGCAGGAAGGAAGGAGCAAGGCTGCTCCTCTCTGTGCACGAGGGAGCTGCCATCGCACACATGCACTGGGAGGTGAGAGGAAGGCAAAGGCTCAGGAATGCCCCTATGGAGGAGGAGGGCAGGAGAGAGAAGGACCCTGCTCCTGGAAGCCGAGCAAGAAATTTGCTCTCTCTGTGGCAATGGGGAGTGATAAGGAGCCTGGGAGCACATTCTCAGCTGCACAGTGCCTGTCTGTCTTGGGAGAGGGCACAAATGAGAAGGAAGAGGTTTGACAGTAAAGACATGAAGAGGGGGAGGATAAGCAGAGGACAGGAAACTCCTCTGGACATGATGTTGGT